GGCTTGCTCTTATGACCAGTTTGTAATAAAAAGGTGGCATAATAGCCAAAATCAACATTTTCAAAATTCCAGATTACTAGAATTCACTGAATGAAGGTTCATAACATATACTGACATAGCCTCAGGTAATTAAATTACAATTTCAATTCAACCATTCTTTTATTCTAATCAAGATGTTTTAAGAGTTGTGGTGAGTTGTATGTATATATTCTTCGATGAATTGATAAGTATCGAACATGTACTACTTTCAGAATGTTGCCCTTTGTGTTTTCTCTTCTGCTTAAAATATGTTCACATGTTTAGTAAAACCTACCGAGGTTTAAGCATCATTACTTGTAAAAAACACATGTTACCAATAAATATTCATACACTGTACATGATGCTATTAATCTAAATCTAATATGCAGCCTATGTATCAGCTGATATAAGATCAATATTAGAATTGAAAACTTTCATTCACATCAATATTGCGGTCACATGAGGTATTGTTTGTCAGAGACAGTTTAAAATACCAATATGCAAAACAGCTCTCTTGTGCGGATTTTGGGATGGACATATGGGGGGGGGGGGGTGACTGAGCAGAATCCAAGGCTGGGCCATAGGGGATTGTTGCAGTTGGGCTGATGGACTTCTACTGTAACCTTGCCTAAACCAACCAATACTCAGTTGAGTTGAGTAAGCAGGCATCAAAAGTTAATTGGTAAAGTAAGATATAGCCTGCACTGCAACATCTAAATTCATTGTTAAAAATTGCACTCTCTTTACATTGTCTATTCTTATAAGTCGGAATCAAGCTCCTCATCTATTTTATCTCTCTGTTTAGTTCGATTTCACTTTCCTACTTTCTAATTATACTTGAACATAGACAATGCCCCACTTCCCTCTAAAATTCATAAAACAGATACAGTAAAACATGTCTAAGTAGAAAACCCTTAGTGCTTCTAAAAAGTGTTCCACTTGGGAGGTGTTCCACTTATTATAAAGGTTCATTTAACATTAAGTTGGTCTTTGGACCCTAAAGTGATCTACTCAAAGATGGGTTCAACCTCTAGAGGTGTTCCAGTTCAATTCATTGTTGCATATTTGATGTTTTTTAATATCCAAGATCCTATCTTTCAATGTGCATTTACAATATTTTCATATTTATATTGATCAATCGGCTGTTTCAACGAGGATCAAAGTCAAATATTAACCACATCAAAACTGAGATAAAAGCAGGAAATATGAGTCAGTAAATTATAATAAATTTTTAAATCCCACTTGGGATATGTTGAATAAAGAGGGAAATATGAGAAGTAGGTTGACATTTTACAGCTTTTAAAAAGTTATTTCACCAATAAAAATTCTGTAAGGTTTTGGCAAGTTAAAATGTGTTGTTTATCGTGTCAACTTGTCGAGCAAGGCAAACCTATAAATTAAGGAATTCAAAAATCAATTTTATCAAAAGTAATCAAGAGCAAAAACTTTGAACTATTAATATTCATTTGTTTTCAAATTGAAATTCCTTTTTACCTGACATACTCATGATGATTTATTTAATATTGTCAGGTAGTCAAAGTATGTTAGAAATTAGACAGGTTATTTATTTTTATCTCTCAAGTAATAATCCTATCAAATACTGTCAAATCTATCAATATACCATTTGATATACAAAGTTAAACTTATTTCATTGTAAACAATTTGGTCTTTGTGACCCATGAAGAATTATTGTGCAATGTGCAATATACCTTCTTTTCTAACCATATTTCACATCATTTGTTAATACCATAATACGTTTTGTTTTTCCCATGTTTAAAATGTTCACTATTGGGAGAGGCCATATTTTACAAAGAAGACAATGGCCTAGATCTATATACTGAAATAAAATATATCATTCGCTGGAGATAATACATGTATGATTTCAATTTTAGAAATACGTTTTGAAAGTAGTGTGTACAGACAGGTTGTTTCATATTCACTCTAATAATATTTTTGTCTATCCATTTATACATCTATATCTGACAAACAGATTTTCTTGACATAACCTGCATAATGTAACATCAAATGACATATATGCAATATTCGAGAACATTGGTACTGTTGCACTAATCTTGCTACAATGGTCTCATTATCAAATATCTTTGTGACAGCATCAGTTTCTTATCTTCTAGACTTATTGTAGGCCTACTCCAGGAACAATAACAAACAAGGCTGCTAGATCTAGGCCTAGGCTAGCAGTGCATGCATGGCTAGCAGTGCATGCATGGCCATTAGTAGGGCCATTAGTGACTTATCATGTGCCTGACAGTTGACATCTGAAATTTGACAACTCGTCGTGTACAATAAATCTAGTGAAAAATCAGACCAGTATCTATAGACTAGACAACCATAACATAGCCTAGACCCCGGGGCCTAGACATGGAAAATGGAAAATAACGGAAAACAAAAAATATTTTGAAAAATGAAGCGTGGCAAATTTGCAATCATAAATATTGAATCAAATCATTCATTTACCTCCTCCATTCTACGCAAAACAAGTCACTGTTGGTTCCCCCTTCTGCTGGTTGTCTTCATTCACCTCCAGATCAATGATTCGAGTGAAATTTAATGAAAATACGGAATGAATTTTAGCCAGGATCCAAGTCTAGCGCCATCGTCCTCAGAACGAGGTTAGGTCAATATGACATGTCAAGGATGGGTCAACGTTAAAAGGGGAATACCCTTATTTCCATATTTGGCGATTATTATCGTTACACCATCTATTGGCAGACACTTTAACTACAAACAATAACAAACCTGGACAAGAATTATGATTACATGGTGAAAGATTAAATTGCTCGTACAATCAATGAAAAATTGTCTGTTTTGATTCTTTATCTTTATATGTCATTTCTTTTTCAGTTTCTGGGGATAATTTAAACAAGTCTCTTATCAGAGATGTTTAAAAAGCAAACGTCAAAATCAACAAACAGGAAATATATGATGCCTTTTGTGAATACACGAGGCAAACTAGGAGATTTTAGTGAGCACAAAAACTGTATACAGAACAAGTGAATAAGTATCAAGAGCAAGCACAAGTGAATTAACAGCAACACGTGACCAATAAGTGGTGTAAGTATGCGGCATAATAACAGTCAGAGGTGCAAAATATAGTGTATAAAAGTAGGAACTTTTTGAGGTAAGACAGAGCAGCCTTAAATGAAAATAATATGTTCTTTTTCAAAACAAGTTAGATTCCCATAAAAGTTAGGTTGGGTAGGTCTGGATGCTGTGCTGTGAAAATAAAAAGGGTTGATCAATTGATCCTTTTTCCAATGAATATCATTAATATTATCTGGTCATTAATTTGTCATTAAAGTGGCAGCAAATGATAGAGAGTGTAAAATGTTTGAAGCAATCTTTGATGAATAAAACACATTCCTTTGTCTAATCATAAATACAATACCTGAAAAAAAAATTAAGATATCTGATCAAATAAGAAAATTATGTAAGATAAATAAATGACCATGTCTGCTTTTCAACATTATTGCCAAATGAGCTTTAAAACCATAGCATTACGATGAAATAAAGTCAGAACTCTTCCTTGTCATGTCTAACAATATCTCAAATATGGGGGAATATTCTCAATTTTCCTTGTATGTATATTGTATATTGTGCTCAATGTTTGGAACATACGGTACTGTTAGATTTAGAGAAATCACATTGTCTAAATATGCACTCGCAAAAATTGTCTAAAATGCAACTTCATGGTAGAGGTGTTCTGCATTTGCCATTACTTGAGTCATTTCTGGATTGCTTTTATACATATTAACACTGATATATCTTATCTACCAAGTTTTATGAAATAATGTCTAAAAATTCTGAAATTGCATTTTTTAAATATGACTTAGCATACATTCTCTAAATCTTTAGCTATTGATGTGAATTGTTCCAAAATTATAGTTTAATTTTTTTGAGTTACCCTGTACATCCTTTCCTACGAGTGGAGTGAGAATTTTCAAATATAAAAAGGGACAATATTTAATTTGAGATTTCAAATGAATATAAAACATAAGATGGTCAGTTATACTTCAGACTTACTTCTGTCTTATTTTCTATTTTTTCAAATCGTTCAGTAGAAAAAATACAAATACATCATAAAACAAATTCATTTTTATACTTTACAATTCTGTTACCCTTTAATAACTTGTGCTCTATTTAAACTAAATCAAATGCTAGTCGACTACATGGAGATTTAATTTCATTCATACAAACTCATATTTTCAAGCCAACAAAACAAGTGCAAGACACATTTTCCAAATGATGGGGCAAAGTCTTGGTGGAAAGATAAGTCGCTACTCTTGCATCAAGATTCTGGGCCAACAACCCCCTGAACAGGGCAGTCGCAATAGCTTGCAAGACTACAAAGCCTCAGTACAGTTCCTAGTAGACTTAGACCCAGTAAACTCAGTTGTCTCAGTCTTTAGTCAACTCTGACCCTACAGTACAGTACAGTACAGTACAGTACATCAAAGTACAGTACAGTACAGTATGGTTCTCAAAGAAGCTTACATCAATATTTCAAAACTTTGAAATATTTCAACTTTATCAAAGAGCCTGAAATATTTTTTGTAATTTCTAAATAATCTTGGTTCATCCCTACCATATTTTTCTGACAATAAGGGGGCACAATTCAGCACACAACTGAGTTTAATATCTGAATGAACACATAATATATAAATGTGAAAACACACAACCGCAACACACAATGAAACTCATGACAAACTCAAAAACTGTACATAAAAATTATTTATTACACCTGTTGCATACTCATGTACATGTACTACCCAATCTCATTCAGGGTTATCATGCACAGTTGCATATGCATTCTTGAAATGATTCTATTTATTCTTTTGCTTCAAAGTACACAAAATCATACATGAAATGAAAGCGTGTACAGTGACCACATTACTATTCTAATCTGGGATTCCGTAGTTATCAATACATCTTCGTTGGAAATATGCATACAGTTAAACCTGTGAAGTGGAACATCTCTGTTAGAGGAATACTTTTCAGAGTCCCGAGACCAACTAACTTAATGTTAAATGAACCCCTTTAAGTGGAACATCTCCCAAATTTTACAGGTTCCAAAGGTGTTTCACTTAGACAGGTATTACTGTATAAGGCAAAGAGGATTACTTGGGATCTTGGGGATTCCCTAGTTATGGATGGGTATTCCTATAACTTTGTTGAGCATTTCTAAGATATTGTTGGAGTTTCCTCTGAAATTATAGGAGATTTCTCAGAAATTGTTGGTGATGCCACAACTGTGGTTGCTGATTCTTTAGATGACACAAGACAATCTGTAGACGTTGATGGGATTGGGGTTATTTCTGTTAAAGGGGGAGAATCTGTTTTTGGAATTTTTGGAGCCATTTCAGTTGGCGTCTTACCATTTCCTACAACTAGGTCAATAGCGGCTAACATAGCAGCCTCTTTAGCTTCCAACTGCCTCTTATTCTCTTCTTCTTTCTCCTTCTTATTTATATCACTTGCAATACTCCTCTTTGATCTAATAAATGCCATTCCATGACTCCGCATGTGATTCTTCAAGGCTGTCTCAGTTTCATATTCACGATAGCATACAGTACATTCAAGTATATTTGGGTCTTTTTGCTCTGTCTCTGTTTTGTCTGTCTTTTCTTGTTTACGCTTTTTCACAACTGGTGCATTCATTGTTTTGTATATATCATTGTATATATCTCCATTGGCAACAATTTCTTTCTCTTCATCTAAGTTCATTCCAGATTCTTTATAATATCCTTGGAAATCCCGTACTTTGTGTACAATGAATAGATGTCTCTTCAGGGAGGGTTCTATAACGAAACACATGCCACACTCCAGGCATTGTATTGACTCATCTTCAGTTTTGTGTTTGGGGATGTGTTCATGGAAGGACACTTTACTATCAGCAGTGAAGTCACACTTACAACAGCTGTATCTTGTGTCACTGATCGTTCTTAGTCTTTTAACGCTCGGCTCTTCTTTACTTGGACTTTCACTCTTATCTGGGTGGTTATCTTCAGTGTCATCAACTTTACGTTTTTCACCTTTATCTTCTTCAGTATTGAGTGATGTATCTCCATCTTTTGCATCTTCGGGGATGCGGGACCAGTCAATTTGAGACTGATGTAACTTGTGATCTTTTACCAAATGTTTTTCTAACAGAGCACGAGTTTCAAACGATGAGTTTTTTCCAAGTTTTTCCCTGCATACCCAACATGCATAGAAATTTTTTCGACCCTCGTGCACAACTTGTATATGCCGCTGAAGACTATATTCCTTCTCATACACCATCCCACATAAATGGCAGGAAAACTGCTGCACGATACCATGTTCACGCTTCATGTGGCGCTGGAGATCACGCTTTCGCTTGAATGGGGTATCACACTCTTCACACTTATGCTTGGGAGGTCTGGGGAGTGGCACTTTCAGAACTATTTTTATTGGTGAGCGAGATTCTCCATCCTTGTCATCCTCCTTAACAGGTTCTTTACTTGGGGAAGGTTGGGGAAATATAGGTTGAGATTTCGGAGATGTTTCGGTGTTTACAAAGGTCAGTTTAGATTTTGCCTTCTCAGCCATACGTAGATTCTTCGGAACTTTGTTTGGTCTCAGCATTGTAGCCATCTTAAGGAAATTATTTATCTTTGAGCATGTTGCAACATGGGTAGCCAGACCCTCTTGTGTTTTAAATATGTTTTTGTTACAGCTGAGACAGACATATTTGGCCTCCTGTTGGTGACCTATGACGTGATAGTAGAAATTCTTAGTACTATAGAAATCAGAGGAGCACACAATACAGCTAATAGTGGGATGTTTCTCTGTTGCATGTTCTTTAAGGGTAATCTTGGTCAAATCAATGATCTCCTCACAAAATGGGCAAATATCTGTGTTGAGATTTTTGGGATCTTTCTTTGATAATGGAATGAAAGTGCATTTTAGTTTATGGGCAATCATTGCAGATTCGGTAGTAAAGCGTGTTTTGCAGTCGCAAATATATTGAGCCCCTCCACCTTTATGGGTCGTTTGATAGTGGTCACGCAGATCTTGTTTCTGGGGGAACCATTTGGTGCAGTCTGGGCAGCGGAACATAATACTGGTGATGAGGAATACTTGCTTGCGATGGGCTACATTCAATACATGTACAAACAGTTGTTTCTGGTCATGGAATACAGTATCACAAAATGGACATTTGAAGATATACTTGAGGAATGCTTTTTCTTTGTCCTCGTGTGTTTGTTGATGTGCTGTGAAGCTTGCTACAGTCTTGAAAGCCATTGGGCATCCAGTGCATTTGTAGTAGCACTCTGCATGCTTGTTTAAGAGATGTCCCTTCATGGGTTGAATATCAAAGCATTTCAGTTTGCAATCATCAAAGGGACAGATGAACTGGAACCTCCTGGCATAGTGAAAGCAGGAATAAGTGGCATGGTTTTGCATGGTGTGGGTAGGAACAGATATACCACACTCGGGACAGTAAAGGATCTTATCATGAAGAGGCTTGTGAAAGTGTTTATGGGCTTTGAGAGCACATTCAGTGGGCATGAATCGTGCACATGTTGAACACTGAAGATCGAAGTTGATCTTCCCTGATATTTCAGACCCCATGTGTTTGGCTAGTTCCTCACTGGAATTACATGGATGCTTGCAGATTCCACATTTAATCTCAGACTTATCATCTGTAGCATCATCAACAGTGATGTCATCATCTTTAGAGTCTTCTTTAACCTGTTCTTTCTCAATAGTTTGAATCTGGATTTCTGTAGATGTTCGTCGAGGTTCAAGCATAGGCAACTTCTGTATGTTCTTAACCTTATCAGTGGCTCCTTTCTCAGCTTGTTCTGGGCTCGAGTCAGTCTTATCTTCAATCAATTTTGGTTTTACAGCATTGTGTGCAGCTATTTCATCAAGTGTTTGTTGAGACTTTGGTAGGAGTTGCTTACTGAGGGGGTTGATGATTGCATTCCTCAAGACCTCCTTACATTGGTGATGGGACACTGCCATCAGTGTCATTGGAATAGTCCCATTGAAGTGACTTTTCAGATGTGCGAGAAACATGCACTTGTTGTAAAACACAAATGCCTTGGTTTTACCAGTTTTGGCCTGAGGGGGACAATGGGGGCAATTGAAGGAGATCTGAAGACTCTTGCGCTGGATGTGTTGAAAGAGACTTGACTGGAAAACAAAGATATCTTGGCAGCCTTGACATTTATATCCACCAGGGGGCATCATGATGTTGTACTTTTCTGGGGGTTTATTGTATACACATTCAGAGAAAGATTCAGACATGCCTAACTCCTTCATAAACTCATAGATGTCCTTGTTATTCATAAAGCAGGATTTCTCAAAGGGGAATAGAATTCTGCTATGAGGCTGTGCATTACTAGGAGGCCTAGGTGGGACATTTTGTGTATACAATGCACGATTAACAATGACTGGACGTTGTGTGGGGTTTACATTTTTCATTACAGGGAAGCGTGACATGTGAAATCTCTGTGGTCCAGAATATCTGGTCTGCATGAAGTTGCTCTGTAATAGAGAATTACCAGGTTGCCTAGTATTGGAGAGTCTGGGTCTCGGAGGACATTGGGGTCTTTGCTTACTGGCTAGAGGCCGATGGTGAGATTGAGGAATATTTAAAACAGATGGATGACCTTGTACAACTTGGGTGGGAGCTTGAGGGGTGTTTAGTATAATTGGAGAACTACTAGTTGAGTTTGACTTAGAATGAATAAGCTGCTTTACATAATTATCATGATTTTCATACCCTGTATCTATTGGCTCAGATTTAATTCGGCCAATATTATCAAATATGTCCCATGTGTCTTTTATACTAACTGAATCATTGTCTTTTGTGTTATTTTCAGCTTCTGTTGCCTTGAAACTTGGTTTTCTCTTTGGTTGTGTTTTTTCCTTTGGCTTGGTGAGAGAGTCTGATTCATCTGGTGCAAGCGATGAGCTAGAACCACTACATATGCTAGTTACACTAGGTACCCTTTCAGCCATACTGGGACTAACACTGACTGTAACTAGTTTATCTCTTGGTTTATTACCTTCTGTGTTATTTTTGTCAGTAGGGGTGTTGGGAGAGCTACCTCCTGTTTGAGCATTGTCACTGGCAGTGCTCAGTTTATCTGTTGGTTCATCACTTTGATTATTAATGTTATCAGTAGTATTATCTGCACTATGGTCAGTTGAAGTTGTAGTGTTTGTATCAGAAGATATGGCAACTGTCTGTTCCGCACCTTCACTTCTGGTTATTTCAAGATCAGTATCAATACTTTTTGCCGATTCTTTCATATTAGTAGATATGGTGCTTGTATGTTCTTTGACTTCATTGTTTGTTCCCATATCATTTTTGGTCTTATGACTTGTGCTTTCAGTGGATTTAACATTGTTTAAATCAGTCTGCATAGGTTTACCAAAGTCATCATTCACTGTATTCACATGTTTATTAGTGTCACCACTGTCATCCACATTGGATACAATACTACCATTTATTCTATGGGCAGGGTCAACAGAAGCCTCATCATTGGCAAGTTCATTCTTATCTTCCAAAGCGACAGCATTTTCAGTGTCTGTACTTTCAATGTCAGCATCCACTTTATTAATGGTCTTCTTTATAAAAGACGCAAAACTGTTCATCTTTGTGCCTCTAGTTTGACCCTTTAATGAGGATGTGTCATGACAGAATAATTTTCTCACTTTTGCTATGTCAACAGCTACAACAGGGCCCACACTTGCTGTCTTTCTTTCATACTGGTGGCTAGCAGATGTATGTGGATGAACATCTAAGCTATGTCTACGCTTTACTGCTCTTTTCATTAGAGATGTAGGAACTGAAAATAAACAAGAGAATTATAAGTTTTAATGTAAGGTTTGATTATTCACAGAGCAGGACATTGGATACTTAAAGGGGCTCTCATTGAAAAGAACATCTGAAAATATATGTAATGTGATCTATGATTGAACAATTATTTTTAAAGTGGCATTAAAGACAAGAAATGTAAATTGTAGACTGTATTTAAATACATGTAAACACTGTCCTTTATAAACTCATGGGCTTGTGTAATATCACTTGTAAAAGATACATAGGTATTCGCACACATTTCATGCTGCATATTTCTCATGATTTTGGGAAGCTATGTCTGTCGTACGGTTGCCTTAGATCAAAAGTGACTGAGGCTTTAGTCATCTGGTATATAAATAGATTATTCACTGCTCCATGAAATTTTCATAGAAATTTATTGTGTTCAGTGTAAACTATTGTTAATGTAAACAAAGGTTTCAACCTATATAAATGCATTTATCAATGTTTAAACATATGACCTAATCCTAGTAATATTGGGAATGGTAAGCTTAAAAGTGAGTAAGAAAACAAATATTTCATTCTATTTTCAGTGAATAATTTCACAATATGGAATTTCACTAAAACTTTTAGACTTTGTGGAATCACATGTGTTGAATGTGAAAAATGCACTAAAATTTTGACTATAAACGATGAAATGTATGTGTACGGAATATCCTCTAAAAAGATACAAACTTCTTCCTATCGTCTTCTTGGTCGTGCAGTTCGAGACAACATATGTGGCAAACCAAATGTTATATTAGTTAATATGTACCAGGTAGATATCAATATTAATATACAGTGTAGGTTATATTTGAATTATAAATAGTCAATTCATATCATGGAAGCAGATGGAAAAATTACATACATTTACATTATAGAAGTAGCAATTTAGGTCATTGTAATTAGCTGGAGGCAATAACAATTTAAGTCTGGAGTTTTATTGAGTGGCATATTGAATGTTAAATGTTAAAAACATGTGAAAAAGAGTTGGTAGAATTTGCCTATTGTTGTTTTGATAATGAATTTAATCAAACTGGAGTTGATTTGTTTCAAAATTGTGAAATGATGAGTGGTATGCCATGCTAGGCCTATGAAATAAGCTATCCTATGGAATAGTTGGGGAAAATACAACATCTTAAAAAATATATTGATAATAGTCTTTTACAAAGAAGTTTTAAATCATTATTAAAGCTACTATAAACATTTTACATGATGTGTTTGCAGTCCTAAGTAGAATGGCAGCTACTAGATCAATAATATAAACCTATGTTCAAACATATTCTTTGTCTCTCTGTGTATAATCAATAATAAAATATTATATCAGAATTGGACTCAATATATTATAAGGCCTCAATATGGTGCTGGTACAAAACAAGGTATGAATCATGAAATCTTATAAGAGGCGACAGTAGAGTTTGATAAATTGAAGGCTTTTGGGGACGACTGGCATGTTCCAGTGATATTCCATTCTAATTATTCACGTTGATGAGGATGCATTCTCAGTGTTTTCCTGCCTAAGATAATGAGCACATTGGAGGGTCACTCGGAAGGAGACAATGTTTGAAGAAAAATGTTCATTCAGACATATTTTTTGAAAGTGTGAAAATATGATAATGTTATTTCCTCTTAAACACAAAGTTGCCTTATCAATTCAAATGCCTCACACATTTTTGAATTTTAGCAAATGCATATGCACAATAAAAACATTTTTTCAGACCCTACATTAGGATCAGAGTTCTCACAATGACTGAGGTTAATAATGAAGACAGGATCAGAAACAAATCTACGTATTTTTGAGTATTTGTTGATCCAAATCGAAATTTGTTATATTTACTATTAAAGGTAGAGCAAATTTCAAGTTGCTAAGAGTCGGAGCAATTTAGAGTCTAAAAGCCTAATGAGCACATATGGACAGAGTGCCTCTTTAAACATTATTTTATCACCTGAATATTACCTAATGTGGATCCACATTCATTGGCACCTGGTATATCGGGTGATGCTGTAGTACTAGCAGTTGCACCAGATACTGGATCTTTCACGTTAACGCCATCTTTACAAATCAACCCAACTGAGGGCTGGGCATTCTGGGAAGCATGCTTCATGTCAAAGGCGGCAAGAAATGACTGGAAAGCCGAGCGTTCTTTTTGTTCACTCATCTTAGTGGATCTGAAAGCAAAAACCAAATAAATATAACCCGACTTTTACATTCAGTTAAAGTTTTTTCAATTTTCCTCATAAAGCAGGTTGAGCCTGATGGTAATGCTTCTAATTGGAAGAGGGAGGGGGATGTGAGATGGTAGAGTTTCAAAATTCAAACAATCCATAAATGTCTTCCAACTATCTGCAAAAAATTGATTATGAAGAGCTATATCCATGGACCTCTATCGAATAGATATCTTTATGATATGCTGGGCTAGAAAATCACAGCTGTCTGGCTAAGCCAATAGCAACTAATTTTTGCTCCTGGCAATGGACCTGGAAAAACTGGTTCCCTATCAAGCAATGGACCAAATGTTAATATGTTAAATTACGGCAATCATGTTTTTAACCTTGTCATGAACCCTGATGATATGATGTTAATCATATCGTAATTGTTGCGCAGATGACCTGGTCATAAAGAAGCTGAAATAATACGAAACATATTTTTAGTATAACTAAAGCCTTGGATCAATTCCTTGCCCCTCCTCATTGCATCTAAAAATTGAAGTCGGTGATAGTTGGTGATGGAGACAAGAAACTCAATGCAAGACTATAGACTGATATAATTCACTTTCCCATGGACATATTTCTGATAAAATATTGATTAAGATAGACTGATAGAGAGTTACACATAAAGGTCACTGGTTAGTCAATATATTGTACATACTGTACAGTATAAGTACACACATTGCAAATGTAAATATACTTGTATATAAATATAAATGTGATTATATAAAACTGATGGGATTATTCATCTACATGTATATACAGTACAAACATTCTTATTCCTAGACATAGTACATGACTACATGCAGTTGGATTGAATAAAGCCCTTAAAATAAACTTTTTACTATAAAAGGGGATCACATTACTGCATTATTTGATGAAATATACGATGTGATGGTAAACAGACTGGCTAGTTGGTTTAGGTGATATGATTCCACGTTAAGATCCTAAGAAACTACTTGAACTATATCCCGAACTATATCTCCATAAGGAGAAGCCCCTCAGCTTCATGCCACCTAGCTATAGCCTCTATCCCTTCATTTTCATTATAGACATACTTTCTCATTTAACAGACTGTTTTGTTAATAAGGAAATGTTAGTTTTCTCAAGTGCAAATAGTTCATTGAGAATAGAGGTGACCTCACCCCAGATGTGAAAAATAACAAAATATAATAAAAATATGATCGTGCATTTACATTATGCATATCAATATATGCAAATGTTGTTTTTTAATAAAATTATGACGATCTTGTATCAGCAGAAAAATTTGTCCAGTAATTTTATGCATAACTGTAATTGAAACAATTTCTATGATAGCATAGTATTGTGCCTCACGGCATCGATAACATATTCCCCAAGCTGGACTTATACACTGGCTATACTACTAAACCTGGCAGCTTGACTGCGGTCATTCAGTATTCTGAATCAATCTCTACACCTGCCATTTGCTGAGCCCATACTGCATATATACTTCCACATTCCAATATGGCATCCATCTTGTTTTAAAACCCCTATAGGATGTTGTCAAAAACTGTATTTGCATATATATGCATATGAGTGCATTTCTAACACATATAACCCAAAAGGTAGATTGTCATACAGTTTACGGCAACTATACTACAATAATACTGCCTGTGAATCTTTGGGGCCTCATTCACTGGGACTTTGTACCTATAAAATAATAGTGAAAAAGGGAATGTTAAAGTGACATAGACAGTATAACCTGCAAAGCTGAAATGGAATTCAATGCATTGCATTCTATGCCAACATGGCAAGTCTGAAGTTATCCAGCCCAGCCTCTGCTTTTTACAGTCTTCCACATAGCTTATCTTCAACTTGTAAAAAGATAATTTCTTGCTAAGAAGCTTATGATACTACAGAGACAAAACATCCATCTTGAATTCTCGAGATGATCTATGATAATCCACATTCATGGAATTTGCAAACTTCCGATATATATCCCCATCCTCAATTTCCAAGATACTTTCATGCCATACCTTCAATGACACAATAATCCAATGTACAAGGACAATAAAAGCATAAATATAATACTGAAGAGTGAAGATATATACACATACTAATATGTTATTATCTTGTTTATATCCAATCCAATTCAATATGAGACTCAGCAGTGTTTCCAATTACCTCCAGTCCTCCATTTTATATATGTTCAATATATGCAGCCATTGTATACTTTATCCAGCATAGAACCTATTCACCACTTCACGTTCAATACATACACTGCAGCAATATGATAACAACCAACCCGGCCTCTCTGATTTACAATAGTGAACCCCATGCATCTGTATATAGGCTGAGTAATAGGTGCACTGATTATGACCTTAAAGTGGAGTGTTTATATAGGCTTTGCCATGGGTTTATTTTACTGCTAAGTTTTAGCTGTTTAACCTGTTAGGGCTTGACTTTTCAGCAAAGTAGCCTTTTTATTTTCCTATATCCTAGTTGGTTGAAATCCTGAGCAAATAGAAACTCAGAGTATTAATCCAATTTGAATTGTTAGCCAGATCATTCAGAAGTTTTATTGAAAAATACTCAATCTGAGATCTTGATCTTAATATTTTGCACATGGCCCCAAATAATGAACTCATACAAACAACATCATGATATCTCAGAAAGGAACAGGTTATAGACTACAGATTTAGCCACCTGGATACCTGAAAATAACATATTAATTTGGTCCTTTTTAGCTAGATGTTGCGTTCATGTACCAAGTACATATGAGAATAAAGATTGAAAAAGATAGAGTTATATATGCCTGATAGTTAACGTTTTATGTTATTCTTATTTTTTGATTAGCATCTGTTTAATCCCAAGAATAAGATATATACATGTAGTTTACAATACTTGAAATGATGTTTTCATGACGGATATTTAATTGAAAAACGCATGTACTCATAAGTAGAGCAATTGCAGGGTTTGTTTACCGAACAGCCTCAATTATTTGCTCAAAGACACATATTTTCACTATATTGTAACATAAGACGAGCAACTCCTGAATCCATTTCATCTACGTAGGACCAGCTTAATTAATTTTAACAAAAAAAAATATTTGTAAAATCAAAATACACTGATTACAAATTGGTAAACAATCGATTGTATGCATATTTGTTAAGCAAAAATAATGTATTTAAATTCAATCTCAATGAAATATCAATCCTTGGCAAAATGGCCTCATTCCTTTATCAGTATAGGGTGTAAATATCACATACAGTGACTCAATCAGTATATATATATATGTAAAATGGTGACACAAATGATCACAGCAGTTACATGTATTTTGATTCTCTGTTGATGGTGATTGGTAAGGTCAAATTACAATGTCATTAAATTGCTCATTAGCTCATACGGCTAATGTGACAGCTACTTTACATGCAGCGGAAATGACAGCAAAATAATTTTTGAATTATCTACTTTGGTGATATGGTTAAAGTGCTAATTCGGTAATTTCTGTTTATTTTTTCACACTACAATAGATTAAACAGATATTGGTAAGTAAAAATAGTATTCCAACAGACTCTCAACTCATTCCGTTTGTTCATTAGTGGCAAAATCAGATTTCCCGGGAAAAATCATGACGTCACGAACAGAACCGGTTATGTATTTTTAACGGCAATGCGTTATGCAACTAAAGTGCCAAGTTCAAATTGTTTATGTTATATTGTGTTCTGATTGGCCAGAAAGGAGTAACGCTTATCGGAGGAAAAACGTGGCTCCAAAGTAGTCATCTCTGAATCAATTCCTCACTTCATTGAATGCAGTTGCAATCAATTACACGAACACTTTATAAGCACGTTCGGAGATTATGAACTCCAACAACATATTCAAAACCCGTTCTGTTTGTGATGTCATGATTGGCATTTGACATTGTGTTCTCGATTTTGAACATCAAATTTCACATTTATAATAAAAATATTTACAAGAACAGTACCTGGTTTGAAATGATAGTGGTATTTACTTCATTTAGAACGTGTATAAACTGTATTTTGACCCCATGAGCATCAGACACTTTAAAATGCATCAATATATAGAAGGGTTCAAATGTAAAAGAAAGTTTTTATCGAAAACAGAACTAGATTAGTTTCAACGTGACTACATCTATACACTGAAGGCACTCAATTTCAACTGGCTTTTGTCTCACAGTCTACAGAGCTACCAAGGCCTGTCAACTTGGGAACACCTAACATGAGTGACTTGCAAATGTTGAACACCTTTGTTCAAATTTTGGACACCTTGGTCCAAATCTGAATACCTTGGCCACATTTCGAGCACCTTGGTTTAAATTTATTGCATATAATCAAAGTTTGGACACCTCAAATTTTTCGCGCCATTGTGAGGGCAGATAGTATAACAGGTCAAAGGTCATTTTTCAAAATAATACAATCAAAGTCGTTCAATAAGAACTGTATAAAAATAAAATAAAGATTCCATGAAAAATACTATAATAGATATTGAAATTGATAATAAGTTGATCACGGTGTTGCCCTTTGCGTTCATCAATGAAGAATGACAAACGTCCAAAATCACAATATAAATGTATAAATAAGCTATTATGAAAGGGTCAGAACTGCTATCAAATCTACGATAGAAAGCAGGCATGACGTCACTATTTTTGTATTAAGTATTTTGTATTTAAGTATTATAGAACACATATAACCTGGTACAATCGGTTTAGATACAAGGTTAATCCCTAAACCCATATGAGATATACACATTTCCCTCAGGATAAATCTTGTATCTAAAAGCTCCCAGTACAGTATATAACTTTTCAGGATATTATTGTTTGAGAGTGATAATCTCATGAGGCGCCATCCTCCAAATTCAGGGCTCCAGACAGAACAAGCAGGCTCCAGAAGAACAAGGTACGAGGCCTGTGTTCGGAGGATGATAAGGTGCTAGCCTTTGAGGATGGCCCTTTATTACAATGTTAAGCATATCCTTAAATTTATCCAGTAAAACCCTATAAACTTCTTTCAAGGTCAAACTACTCTCTGTATTTTACAACGAAACTTTGAATAATATTTTCATTCGATGTTTTGTAGCTTTTTGACAGAAATGATGGTTTAGATGTCAAAGCATTCATTTCCCACAACACTTAAAGACTTTTTTTCAAGTTAAATTATGAATGAAGTTGTTGAATATCTCTGAATTTACGGTTATCATAAATCATAAGTTTATTAAAAAGATTCATAAAAATAAAGTACTATCGCCTAGATATGTCACAAGCATCAGTAAATTGAGGATAAATGTATGATTCTGAGTCACCAAAAATCAATGATAGCTGGATTACACAGTTTCAGAACAGATCTCACATATAGCTTTAGCAACATATCAATAGCTTGAGACAAAATTTTAAATTTCTATAATGACAATAGACTAGATGCGAGTAGAAATAATCTTGATTTACGTCATTAAATAAGTCAAAATTCAGTCAAACTGATGTCATATTTGAAATCTATATGTGAAAGTACATCTAGAAATATGGTTTCGAAAATTGTTTATCAGCTTTGAAATTTTAATTTTTTTTGAAAATGTGACTTCTAGTTCAGGTTGATTCCCCATAGATCCCATGTTACAAAATCACAAAAAGTGAAATATCTTTTCTTGCATTAGACAGATAATATTTTCTTTTACTGGGCATATTTTAATTTACATAACAATTAGATACATAAGGCTTATATGAAAATTGAACCACTAAAACAGATGTAATTCAAGTTAAAGGGAACTTTCTACTATACCTACCCTGCGCACAGAGTCTAGTTAAACTACACTCTGCCTAGTATAAACCATATTACAGTTTAGTAGCCCCGCCCCCTCGACGGATACCGGTGACAGTTTTGGAAATAAATCACTTCTGACCTACGCGCTGACGTAATCAGCGAGCTTGAAGAAACATACGCTAAATGCTTGCTAATTAAATATGCGCATGTCATTGGCCGATTCCGGGCTCAAGGATGACGTCAGAAGGAATGACTATATATAGAACGTCGGTCAAATTTGGCCGACGAACACTGATTGGCGCGGTGAGTTCACAAGTTTATTTTAGTTTGAAAGAGTGAAGATGAAGCTCTCTTTTAAGAAGTGAAGTCAAACGAATGCAAAGGGTATACTATACCCGCCATGCTATCTGACCCGAACGAGCCACCTGGTAGTGAAACTGGTAACTACTTTCTCGCATCTGCGTTATTAAGTTGCCTTATTAAGAAATTTTAATGATAGTTTGTTCATTTGCCTTATTTGGAGCATCTTGTCCTTCTGTATCACTCAATACAATGAATAAAACATGAATGTCTGCATTGATAAAAGTCTGGGAGAACTCACCAACTGACCAAAGGTGATATTAATTTGAGGTATGTCATGTAGAGTAAAATCTCTCAAGTGAACACCTGTCTCTAGTGGACACAGTTCCTCCACATATACTCTACTGAATTTGTATAAATTACCCTCATTGTAGTGAATACCTACCAACTATGAACGTTCTTTCTTTGCAATTTATACTGACGTAATTTGGCCAAAATACAACAAAATTTTGGGTAAGTTTTTGCAAATGGTTACAAAAGGGGATCAATTTGTTACAGATACCAAACACTGACTGGCAACCACAAAATTCTAAATGGCAAATGTAACTGTCATGAAAGATGGTGAGTAAAACAATATGTCACTATGTTACAGTTACATATTGATATAAAAAGGCCCAGTATGAAAAGGAATGCAAAAACATGAGAATTTCTCTATTTCAAGAGTGGGCGTGTAATGTCTAAATGAACACTTGAGCAGAATTATATTTCATTACATAACCCGGTTCTTACCATTATGGTGATATTACAGCAGATCGCTTCTACATAGATTCCAACAAGGCTGCAAGGTGACCTTCTGCAGAATCTAATTTCCCTGTCTTGCATCTGTAGATACTGTTGAGGGAATATAAGCACCACAGATTCTGGCTACAGTCTGAAACCATGTATCTCCTCAGTCTAATCAGACCAACCAACTCTAAAACATATGAGATATCACAATTACATATAATACATGAAGAGGTAGATATAGGTATGGATTTTCCCTATACTATATTATCATGGAATTGCCTATATACATTTTTAGAAAAATACTGACATAGAATTTCCTGTATATTGTGATTACAAAGTGCATATAAAATAAAACAAATGTTATAAAATCACATTGTGCTTCATGTAAATATGGAATAATATTCCAGAATCACTTCTGACAAGTCATATCACAATTGTACTGTAGAACACACACTGCCCTCAGATTTTCCATGATAGCATGTCTGGAAAGAATAATAACATAATTAAACCAAATTCTTCACCATCTTGTCTAATAAGTCATTTCATCCATTAGTCCCTGATTCTGTATATTCACAAAATCTGAAAAAATCACATCCTACAACAATTGGAAACACACATAATACTTATACTTTTTCGAGGTGATTAACTATCGAATAATTGAGAAATGGATTGGTGCTTTATGCACCACGCAGTCAAACACAAATAATGTGATTTCAGTATTGTCTATTATATGTACAAACCACAAGAAGTCCGGATGTATCCAATGGTTGCAATTCGAAATATGGTTCTCCGGTGAGTCAATGTTACTCGATCATCTTACACTTTACAAAGATCTCTTTGCCTGCAAATGCCAAAGTTCATAGATTAGTCCTTACTTGAAAAAGTTCCATGCTACTTGAAGTTCGTCTGATGCAACCTATACAGTATACACCCTAGCTAGCAAATCTATCATTGGCCTATACAATCAATATTGTCTAAAATATATTAGATTCTATATTTCAGTAATTATTTCACCTTGATGCATCAAACCATTCCTTTCCTAGCTACAACAATATAGAGGATCACTGATTCTTACAAAAATGGCCTCCAATGTGTTTTCAACTTTCAACACCACATGTAAACACTGCATATACACAGGCTCTTTATCAGCGCTATATTTAGACAAGTACCCTTACTGAATATGAACAGCTGCATATAAATGAACAGAGAATCAATATGGCCGACATTTCATTTTGTTGAACAGAACAGAACACTCTTTAACAATTTATCAAGCATTAACATACTATAGAGAGAATTCAGAATGCCACATGGCCAAAATGAAAAAATAGGAATTTCCCAGATTTTCGATAAATCCAAGATAAAATGACTCAAAAATGGAGATAACTGGGTCATTTTGTATTTAATTTGTAGGCATAAAAGCATCAAATAACTATATATATCGTATAGTGTTCCATTTGATTTTTCTGATTTCTTTGATCGTGAAAAATTAGACATAGCTAAAGAATGATACTATCACTAACCTTCCAGAAGTTAGTAAAACATTCAACCTAATAGCAAACAAACTTTGTTCAACCATTTAGCAAATGCACTTAACTTTCCATAAATTTCTGCCACAAATAATTTATGATAGGACAACTATATGGAAAAAGTTTAAAACCGATTCTGAATTATTCCCTAAACTTGTCCTAGCCATCTTCTGTGTTTAACGTCACAAACTAGCGCGATTTGGTCAATGATCTTTGGAACTCCACGAAGGGATAACCTCACACGTATCAGAAAATAGTAGCACCCTTAAGAAAATTACTTTTTATTTCATTTATAGTGGGAGATAAATAGAATGTGATATACGAGCATGGAGCTATTAGGAGTTTTAAATTATCAACATTTGCAATATAACAGGGTGTCTAAAAAAAGAAACTGGGATTTAATTGCTTATTTCTCAGATATGAATAATAATAGGAAACTTACTGAGCTACCACCTGATAGGTTGTGATGTCCTCTTATGATACCAAAGTTGTCTATTTTCCTTCATGAATGACTGAGTTCTGAGAGGTTTTAAGTGACCATGTCAGAAATGGGCTTGTGCCACGTTTTCTTTCATGAATGACTGAACAATGAGGGATTCAAATGGCTATGCCAGGATGGTTATTTGGAGTAATCTGAAGGATAAAATCTAGACAACATCACCAAGAGACGTTGATGATCTAAGGGCCAGGATTGTTGCAGCAGTGGAAGATCTAAGGGGACAATGAGACATCATCAGGGATGCAGTACGTGCGATGAGATCTAGGGCAGACATTTGCATTGAAAGGAATGGGGGTCATGTTGAAGGACACTGTGGTTAAAACAACTATGAAAGGACATTGGGATTTAAAAGGGGTGTTAAATATGATATGTGTAACTTTAATTGGAATAAATGAATAAAAGAGTAATATACTGATGTTTGTCGTTACTTATCACTATGTTATGATGGTGAAATTGACTTGGCTGAAAATGGCACAAACCCATTTATGACATGATCACTTAAATCCCTCATTGCTCAGTCATCTGTGGAGGAAAATAGAACATCTTGGTATCATATGAAAGAGGACATAGAGACGCAAATGATGATACCTGTGAATCTTCCCTAACATTATTCATCTTTGAGAAAAATAAGCAATTTAATCTTGGTTTCCTTTTTGGGACACTCTGTAGTACTCGCTTTCCACTTTCATAACATAAAATCATAAATTTACTACAGGTTAATAGGTGCCCTAGAAATATACAAAACAATCGCACAACATTTTAGAAATATACGGAAAAGTTCAGAATCAGACTCCTGTGTCCCAAGGCATCGGCATCTAAAACCAAACCCCCTCACTGGTATTTGAGCTCTCAAAGATTATGTTTTTTTACAAAAAAAGTGGCCATTTTGAAATTCAGCCGACATCTTGAAAATTCTTACTTGACCAGAACTGCTGTGTCCCTGGGCATCAGCATATAAAATTTGAACTAAATCCTCTCACTGATATTTGAGATATCAAAGATTATGTTTATTTACGAAAAAATGGTGGCCATTTAGTAATTCAGCTGCCATCTTGAAAATTCTTACTCAAACAGAGCTACTATGTTCCTAGGTATCAACATACAACATTTAAACCAAATCTGTTCACTGGTATTTGAGTTATCAAAGCTTATATATTTTTAAAATGGCGGCCTTTTGAAATTCAGTCAGCATCTTGAAAGTTCTTTCTCAAACAGAGCTACTGTGTTCATAGGCATCAGCATATAAATTTGAATCAAATCTATTCAGTGGTATTTGAGTTATCAATGATTACTTTTTTATGAAAAATGGCTGCCATTTTTAACTGACTGATCATGTTGAAAATTCCTTCTCAAGCAGTGCTCCTATACCCATACTGCCATAAGGCAACCGCCAATAAAATTTGAATCAAATCTGTCAACCGGCATTTGAGTTATCGCCAGGACAAATGAACAGACAGACAGACAGCTTTTCTATATTCCCTTTGATCTTCGTTCAGTGGGAAAATGAAGAAAATAAGTCTGTTTTGCATTTAAATTTTTATTATCTCTTGGATATTGTGCTTATGGGTTGATGCAATAACGTTTATGTACTGTTAGGTTGAATGTTTTACTAACTTCTGCACAATATCATTCTCTAGCTTATAAGTCTTCTTTTAAAAAATCAAGTAAAACACTAGCTCCAAAATTCTACTCAAAAATCAACATAGAATGTTAGTCTCATGTTCAACAGAAAAGCGACTCAATTTGTTTGTAAAATTGATTCTTTAAGAAAGTTCAACAATCAATTTAAATGTTAAAATTAGATTCATTTTTATCTAACATACAAAAACCTCATTTTTGCATTTGCCATTATAACGCAGCATGTATCATTTATATCATTTAACCCTTTCCCGACGTGAATATAAGAGGAAAATGTTGGTCTGGTGACGGATAAGTAAGAGAGGTTTTTAGGTTAAAACTGGAAATGATGTATATCCCGGGACCTTTACTTTAACTTTTATCACTAAAAACAATTTTTAATAAGCATTATCACATTCAACAAGTTGTCAAAATTTGGTGTAAAATACTGAATAGAACTTGAGATACTGCCATTTGATTGATGTATGCAAATAGAGATAGTGGTGCCAAAAAGAGCCTATCGTCGTGAAATGTATTACATAATACGGCTCCATATGGAGCATATCGTCGTGAAAGGGTTAAATATCCAAAATAAAAATTACAGGCAAGCAATTTGTAGACTTAGGCTTAGTTCCCACAAGTTACATATAGAACTTGGTCGCCATTTGAAGCCTAAGCCAAAACCTGTAGATGAACGTTTATGTAATATTTGTGGTATTTTAGAAAATGAACAACACTTCATCATGTTTTGTAAGAAAAACACTGCAGAAAGAAAACATTTGTTTGACAGCCTTACACAATTTAATTTTGTAGGCAGTCTTGACATTATTTTTAAAAAACTGATGTCTCACAAAAATTCTTATGTAATTTTACATTTAGCAAAGTTCATCTATCATTCACTCAAAAAATTGGATTAATGTGTCACTGATACGTCACACTGATATTTTTAAATTTCTGTCAAGTCGTATCTGTATTTTACAATTATCTTGTATTTTTGTATTTTACATTTGATGATGTTGTAATTAGAATTGTATTTTACAACAACTTTATTTTTGTATTCAGTAGTTACATGTAGTTTAGTCTTAGGTCAATTTTGTATATTGTAGTATTTAGTTTTTTAGTGACTTATACGTATGTCTTTGTAATGACATCACAGAGTCAATAAAAGATATATATTAAATATTCTAATATGATATGTAACGTCACACTAGCTAGAACAATTGATTTACTATATTGGAGTATGTTATGACCAATAAAATTTATAAATGCAAATAGTCATGTTTCTTTTCTGTTTATCATATAAGAATAGTAAAAAAGACCTCGATTTTATGATTTATGTCAAATATATGACTTCAAATTTTATTCTGGCCATTGCCAAAGACCTCAACCGCGATGTGATTTCAGTCTTTTAACAATGAACAAAATAAAATTTTAGGTCATATATCACGTCATAAATCATAAAATCTCGGTCTTTATTCCTTAATTGAATGCAGGTTTAAATTATGTTGATTACATTTCACCAGTGGTACCTCACAAAATATCATATTGACAGTTGTTCATTTTTTAACCAAATTAGGATTTGGATGATTGGGATTGGTGAAAAACTGCATGATTTTGAAAGAATTTCAAGCAAGGGGGACGAGCTTCTGCTCCCTAGCTCCCCTCACTACAGGCCTTTTGTGGATGTCTGGTTCAATCCTACATCGGGGTTTCACTAGAATTTTTTACAACAGGCTAAATAAATGTAAAATTATAAATTAACATGGGAAAGTTGAAAAGCCCCTAAAAACAACAGGGGATTTTGTGAAAACAACCGGGGAAAATCGCCTGTTGCCTGCTGCTAATGAAACCCCTGCTACATTATCCACTTCATGTGGGTGCTGCACACCGATAAGTGTTTGCAGCTCAATATCCTAGATATAAGCAGCTTACTTTTCATCATCAAGATTATTAGACCTACCTGTAATTGGGAGGTCGCACAAGCTCCCGGTTTACTGGCCTTCACAATGCATCTTGTGCCTTCACAATACATTCAGGATACATAAAAAAAATCTGGATATATACCAACCCAAGGGTTAAACGTTCACTCGCTGATCCAAGCTAACAAGGCCTATTTTTGATAATTTTGCCTAAAAAGGCCTTAAAAGGCCAAGTTATGCTGAAAAGGCCCATTTTTCAGGCCCTACCAAAACTTTTGGGATCAAACATTTTTGGGGCCCTAAAACTTTTTTCTTAGCCCACAAAAGGGATGTAGGGCCCAGGCCCCCCTGGATCTGCCAGTGATGTCGGTGGTATATCGCAATTCCATCTGAAAGTTCAAATATCCCCTACAGTTATTATACAATTAGACAATAAAGCACGAAACTAAATATATCTAATAGAAAGGTGAGTCCTGTAGTATACTGCCAACCCAAGGTATAGAATCCATTGTGAAATTCTTCGTTGGCTGGTCATGCAGCTCTCATGAGATTACAAATAAAGCTTCTGATCGTCCCTATAAATAAGAAAGAAGTCGATTTTTAGTATGTTCACGCAGAGATTTCCCATGAAAATGGCAATATTACTGTGCAATATTACTGTTTGGCCACAGTCCTCCAATCATCTCCCTCCAATGGAATCCTTAGGAATCCAAAATGGCAGACAGAAGCAATGACCAACACTATTGGAACTGAATTGAATGAGATGAATGGAGGAATCATAAACTAAGAAACACCAAAATAAATAATGTATATCAACACACATACTTACCAATCGAATACTTGTTACTTTGAACTGTACCAAACGTGTATGGTAGTGAAACTCACAACTGAACACCCTAAATTCTTAGGGCGTCGTGTCACGTGACTACCTGATATCCCAGTGTGCATTGCAAGAAAAATATGGAACCGGGAAGTTGGGGATTCAAAACATTTCAACGAATTTCACTGATATAACCTACCATACGCGATAACAGGATAATTTAACAAACTAATTAGATGAAAGAGATATTTGTGCAATATATAAACATCTGCTCAGGCGGGGGATAGTTCCCTAAACGTGAAAATGAATCGTTTTCAGTGCAAAAATTTTCCAGTCTTGTTTTTATTTTTTCTCAAAGTTTTTTCCATCTTCCAACAATCGTTCAGTTTTGCAGAGAAAGGAAATGCAGAACCTATAGGACATTTAAAACCACTTGGGTCTCACATGCCACCTGAAAGTTCAGTAGATGAACTTCAAGTCCTGCCAACATCAGAGATATTCCACAAGGAATATGTTAAGCCTGGAAAGCCATTGATCTTCAAAGGAGCAGCTAAATTGATGCCTGCCTTTAAACTGTGGACTGACGATTATCTGAGGTTTGTAGAAATTCAATTGCAGACCCAACCAGGGGGATGTCATGTCAGTAAACCTGACAAAATCTTTGGGAGGAAGTAAATCTAAAAACATAGGATTAGTCCTTTGTAATGGCTGATGTGAAAGTCACTCCACCTTACTTCCTGCGAAAGCTATTGGATTTTGATATAATAGCTTTCCCACGGAGCATTTGGACAGCTCAATGATCGTGACCTTTGAAACCGAATTAAGTCGATCCGCGGCTTACTTTTGGTCTCTAACTGTGTCTTACATCAGTATCATCAATCCGTGTAAGTATCGGAGCGCTGGAGTACTTCTTTTTCGATCAAGACTTGTAATTGTTAGTCAACTGAATCGTTTTACTGCCAAATTCCAATATGGCGGTTTCTGCTCGGACATTTTCGTAAATCTCCGGAGGTTGTCCGAACCTAACTAATTCTCAAGATTCATTTCGTTCGTTGCGTATCTCGCACCTAGCAAACCGCCATATTGGAAATGGGTCTAAAAAACTTTCACTCGATGAACAATTTACAAGTCTTGATCGAAAAAGAAGTACTCCAGCGCTCCGATACTTACATGGATTGATGATACTGATGTAAGACACAGTTAGAGACCAAAAGTAAGCCGCGGATCGACGCGACTTAATTCGATTTCAAAGGTCACTATTGATGAGCTGTTCACTTCTCCGTTTGAGAGCCATAAGTTTCAAAATCTAACAGTGGCTCTCGAAGTGAGTAAACTCCACCTTATCCCGTTCCCGGACTATAGTCCTGCACTGAGCGCATTCATTTGCCTGTACGATTACAACTTGGGAGAATTATCTACGCCCCTTACACTTAAGATACCTACCTCAATGCATTATAGAACTCAAGATGTAACTTCTAATATATTGGAACCGCCGATTGTCTGGGTATATCGGCAGAACGGGAACATTTCTCTTTTTCATCGAGAGAGATTCCATCACTTTTCAAAATGGTGGTTAGATTTAAAAGGGGAATCCCCCGTTTGGCTGTCCCGGATGTAGCCCGGAAGTACCAATATGGAGGAATTTGACGGTTGAAATAAGTTAAATGTTACACGCAAATATTGCGATCAAAAACGAAAATGTCTTCGTTCTGCCGATAAACCCAGACAATTGTGGATTCAACTACATGAAAAGAATGCTAAATTACCAAGGAATCTATTGAAGTAGGTATCAGAAGTGTAAGATGAGTAAAAAATTCTCCCATGTTGTAATCGCACAGGCAAAAGATTGAGATGTTCACAGGACCATAGTCCGGGAACGGGATAAACTCCACCCTGGTGGGAAATGAATCCACAACCTCCAGATTACATGTCAGGTGCTCTACTACTTGAGCTACAGAGCCTTCTGACTCTGATATCAACATTGCATATATGACATCACAGCCATGACTTACATGCCCAGTTGCATAGATCCATTATGAAGTTTACCTGTCTTTCCAGGTTGTCAATCGCGCTATTCATGATGTCACATGTTACTTCCTGCGAAAGCTATTTGGATTTTGATATAATAGCTTTCCCACGGAGCATTTGGTCAGCTCAATGATCGTGACCTTTGAAATTGAATTAAGTCGATCCGCGGCTTACTTTTGGTCTCTAACTGTGTCTTACATCAGTATCATCAATCCGTGTAAGTATTGGAGTGCTGGAGTACTTCTTTTTCGATCAAGACTTGTAATTGTTAGTCGAGTGAATCGTTTTACTGCCAAATTCCAATATGGCGGTTTCTGCTCGGACATTTTCGTAAATCTCCGGAGGTTGTCCGAACCTAACTAATTCTCAAAAATCATTTCGTTCGTTGCGTATCTCGCACCTAGCAAACCGCCATATTGGAAATAGGTCTGTAAAACTTTAACTCGATGAACAATTTACAAGTCTTGATCGAAAAAGAAGTACCCCAGCGCTCCAATACTTACACGGATTGATGATACTGATGTAAGACACAGTTAGAGACCAAAAGTAAGCCGCGGATCGACTTAATTCAATTTCAAAGGTCACTATTGATCAGCTGTTCACTTCTCCGTTTGAGAGCCATAAGTTTCAAAATCTAACATGGCTCTCGAAGTGAGTAAGTCACATGGTCTTTCCCATGTGCCATTCCCCAAAGGAGAAATTATTAGTTAATCTGAAAACATAGGATTAAATCCTATGCTACTGTTATGGCCGATGTGAAAAAAGCCACTCCACCATGATGAGGAAGGATTGTACATGTACAATTTTTACAGACGATATATCTCAGTATTCATATTCCATATATTTTTCACCTTGGCTCTTACAGTTTCATATATTTCTTCTATCTGGCTCTTACAGTTCCAGATATGTTTTACCCATCAAGCTGTACGCAGTCCTAATTCAGGATTCTAGGTTTGGGAAAAAAGCCATGAGATGTGGGGTTTAAAAGGCATTAGGTGGCGGTTATCCTCCATGCAGGGTTAGGATTTGTAAATATATGGATTTTGAAAAAGTATACAGTACATGGAAATATAAAGTTTAAGACCTAAAAACATCAACTGTAAATATTTTAACCCTGAATGGATGGTACCTCCCCAAGCTCAATTTAGTTTTGGCATTTCACTTTTAATTTTTTGTATTTTCAGCTCTCAGTTTGGTGACTGGGATGTAGAAGTAGAGATGGGCAAAAAAGAGAACAGAAGTGGTAGTGCACGCCACTTGCCATTCAAGTCATTTTTGGATGTCTACAAGAACAGCGACATCTACCTTGTTGAGGATATTAATGATGATAATCCAATGACAGGTCAGTATTTATTTATGTTAATACAGATGGCCTATATGTATATGTACTGTTGCTTCCATTTTGTTAGCAAATTCAAGACTATTAACAATTGACCTATATTAGATGCATTATAGTTGACCTTCCTGTATATACTGGTATTCTAGTATATATGGATCAGGGGTGTAGTCAGCTTTTAGTCAGGGTGGGTGCGATTGCCAAAAAAATTTGGTTTTCAGTCAGGGTGCGATAGTCGGTTCAGGGGTGCGAAAGTGGCATAAACAAGCCAAAGGAAGAAGATTTATTTCGAATTTTACAAAAATAGATGCAACTTCCTTCAAAATTGAGCTAGAAGCTTCAAATAAAAAGCATTTTAAAGCTCTTTTCTTCTTCTTTCTCACTGTTTTATTGTCACCACCATGTGGTGACGTATTGTTATGGTCTTAACAAAACTTAACAAATACTGTTTAGACTGACTTCAATTTTTTTCAAAATCATCTACAAGTTTTCAGAAGTTCAAATCTGACTTACATTTAAGATTTTTCAAGCTCAAAAAAGGTCAAAAACTCTTTTTCAACATGCTTCAAATTGACCAATTTTTTTTCAAAATCATAAACAAGTTACCAGGAGTTCAAATCTGACTGTAGGTTTAAGATTTGACCTTCAGTGACCGTCTTGAGGTCATAGAAAGGTCAAATAGGTCTTTCTTCAACTTTCAAAATGACCTTTTTTCAAAATCATCTACAAGTTCTCAAAAGTCCAAATCTGGCTATAGATTTGACCTTCAATGACATTCTCAAGGTCTAAAATGATTTGACCTTCAATGACCTTCTCAAGGTCAAAAAGGTCTTTTTTCAACCTGCTCAAATTGACCAATTTTTTTCAAAATCATCTACAGAGTTTTCAGAAATTCAAATCTGAATTGAACTTATTATATTGTGAGCAACTAGGTGGTGACATTTTGTCATGTTAATGCCTTGTTTCTATTGATTTTAGGGGGGGGGTGGCTACACCTTTGCACACAGTCTCTATGTATTACAGATGGCCCTTATATTTTGACATTCTGGGGTATAATATTACAGTTGACCTATATTTTCTGACATTCTGGAGTATAATTACAGAAGATCTATATGTTCTGACATTTTGGTGCAATACTACAGTTGACCTATACATTTGTATTTACTAAAATTTATAGAAGACCTATGTGTACTGAAGCCTTTGCTGTGTGGGGGGTTCATGAGGGGTCTGCAGACTGTCGTGATATGGTTCAGTGGGGGAGGGACATCCAGCGTCCTCCACAATGATGGTGTCGACAACATCAACTGCCTCTTTGATGGAGAGAAAAAATTAGTGATGTTTGACAAAGTGAGTAAAATATTTGAAAGTGCAATGTTTTTAAGAATTCGTCATCATTTCCTGGCCAAAATAACTGGATTTATAAAAAATAAACTGCTTTATTCTCTCTAATGAGCATACAAGGTGGTTTCCAAATTGAAAGGACATGGTGCAATTATTGGCAAATATCCCTATGGTCAAAATGAATCATTCGTAGGTGTAACATGAAGAATAAAATGTCATATAATACTTTGGAAAATATTAAAGTGCTCGGACACACATAAGCTGAGATATGGATCATTTCGTTCAGTAAGGTTGTATTGACTTACATGGGGCTGTGCACCATTGACTTAACATGAGGATATCAGCAGATCCCAATAGAGGCCATTGGTTTCCATTGATTATCATAGAAATACCAAAAATACACTATGACCTGAATCGATTGCAAACTTAATAATTTCACAATACGACACAAATGGTTTATCTCATCAAATGTGCAAATATGAAGTTTGCAATCGATTCAGGTCATACTTAAAATAAGAAGTTTGTACATTTTTTCATCATTTTTTTCCCTACAAAATGGCTATAGAAAAATGCTCCAAAAACAACTTTTACACTTGAATCAAATATCATACAAGTTTATAAAACCAAAGATTATACTATTATATTTCATTATGTAGTAACATATTTGGATACGATGCAGGGATGCGTAGGATGTAAATGGATTTTGACAGACACAAAAATACTTCCTGGTTTGGAATCTATGCCTCTACACTTCATGATTGAATTATGACCCTTATAAGTGGCCTATACATCAATACAGTGCTGAATATAGGTCAACAAGATACTAGTGTGCATATAAATGTAATAATTGAAGCAGAATACTCATTTTGAAAAATCAGATGAATTATTTTTTCCCATGGGGAGAACCCAATGGAGGGTGTATAAGGTCCTTTAAAAGGGTAAGATATTAAGAGATTCCAATAAGCACAAATACAAAAAATTGAAAAAAATTGCCGATTATCCTTTTAGTTGTTATCACTAAGGTTTACATACTTTACAACTCCTGTATTTCTTTCTCTACATTAAATATAATCATCAATTGAAAGTTGTGTAAATGATTGAACTCTACGCTCATCAGAGAGAATATTGTATGTCATTGAATTGTACTGTTGGTAATTCATCCCGCCCTTAAATATTCTTCTTAGTAAAGTATTTTCAGAACTAGATGATTTCAGCATTTTATGGAAATTATGAATTGTTCCTTACATCTAAAGCCATTATAATACTGTTTTAATATTTCAATATTCCAGAAATACAATACTGAGATTGAAGGGACAAACTTTGTGAAAAGGGAGGGATATAGTAAGCTGAATGTTGATAAGGTGGATCTGCTGACATATTCAGAGTTCCAGACGTTACCCTGGGTTGAGGCTAACATGGAGAAAGGTGATTGCATGTTTATTCCATATAGGTAAGCTTCCACTAGTCTCTGGGGTGTCCTTAGTAGTCCTTAGTGGATGTCATCTTAAGAAGAACATGTATAGCTAGTCTAGGATATGTGATCCAAAACGCAAATGTAATACATAATGTCTATAACAAATCCTTACATCTTCCAATAACTTAACAATACTGTTTAGACTGACTTCATTTTTTTGCAAAATCACCTACTAGTTTTCTGAGGCTCAAATCTGACTTTAGATTTAAGATTTGACCTTCAATGACCTTCTCAAGGTCAAAGAGGAATTGACCTTCTCAAGGTCAAAAAGGTATTTTTCAACTTTCTACAAATTGACCAGTTTTTAAAAAAAATCATCTACAAGTCTCCATAATGTCAAATCTGACTTTAGATTAAATATTTGACCTTTAATGACCTTCTCAAGGTCATAATATTGTGACCAATATTTACTGTTTTCAAAAAGTATATACAAGTATAGCATACTCATGATTGAGTGGATGCAAGGAGGTGGAGGTCATTGAATGCTTTGCAAATTGTGACAATGTAATTGATAATTACTGTGAAATACAATTCATCACTCAACTATAATTGTAATTTAATTGGTGAACATTTGCTGGAGAATCATAATGTACTTGTACAGTAAAACCTGTGTAAGTGGAACACCTTTGGTACCCCAAAAAGTGTTCCACTAAGGGGGATGACCTACTTACTGGGGTTTATTTTGTATTGTAAATGAGCAGCATGGCTTAGAATTGTTCCACTTGTTGAATGGTTCATTTCCAGAGGTGTTTCACTTCACAGGTTCTACTGCATATTCACCAGGCCCATAACCATAGGGGGGGGGTGTTCGGGGGTTCAAGCAATAAATAAAAAAGTGAACCCCCTTGGCAAAACCTGGCTGTCCATAAAAATCACATGATTCTGTTGTTGCTCTCCACACTTGCGTTGTGCAATTTAGGAATGGTCAAAGTATATTAAGATAATTTTCTTGAAGTATTAAATTATTGATCTGTTATTGCAGGTGGTACCATCAAGTAAGATCATACGGTAATAGAAACATTGCAGTGAACGTTTGGTTCGCACATATGTTACGATTTGATGCTGATGATTGCAAGCAGGAGGAGCCACTTCCAGATGTTCGTAAATTGAGCGAATTTGAGATAGAATCAAGTAATGAAGCATTAAGGTGGGTCAAGAATATTTAATATTAGTACAATTATACAAGGTGACCCCAAAAAAGGTCAACCTTTTAGTTATTTTGGTATAACTTTCACAATTATGAAATTCATGAAAGATAACAATTCACTGGTAGATGAACAAGGAGGCTTTAGAGATAAACAATATGACCAGGAGATAGAAGAAGAAAAGAGCTTAAAAATGCTTTTATTTGAAGCTTTTAGGTCTATTTGGGAGGAGGTTGCATCAATTTTTGTAAAATTCAAGGTAAATCTATATTTTTGGCTTGTTTATGCCACAATCGCACTCCCCCCGCTATGAACTATTATGAAGGAATCTACATGAATAATGTTTTCTAGATAGTGTTCATACAATATAAATACATGAAATATTGAGGTACTTGCATAGCATCAACAGCTTCAAGAGATATCATGTTTTCTGTGCTGGCACTCTGACACCAAACCATTCAAAAATACGCAAGTCAGGAAATCTGTCTTTAGAATCTACCTAATAAGCAAGTCAGTTCATCATATTTGACAAAACTATTTTAGGAAATTTTTAAATCTGACAAATATTTGTATGATTGATAATATGTATGAAAGCAAAAATTGTACTTTTGAACAATTTTGGATGATTTCAACTGAGAGCAGAACTGGATGAAAAACGTGATTATTCAAGATCTTGAAATCATAGATGCAATATAAGTACCCCACTGATTTCTCAGTTGAACAAGTTCTTTCTGCACAAAAAATCTCAAAGATTCCTTCATATTTGAGAGTAATCAGAGGGTAACATTTTGTTTGGGTCACCCTGTATATTACTTCTATTGACTCTCATATGCAATTTACAATCTAGAGAAATTAACTAAAACTTGTATAAGCTAACTACAAAAACAGATTTTTCCACTTTGGAATCACATTATTCTTAAGAATAATACTAAAAAAATCTCACATTTTATTTTCTAACCCAGACGAAAAGAAAAAGCTATTGAAAACTTTGCTATCCTACCATACTCAGATCTAAGGAATACAAAATGTTTTTTAACCTTTTTAATATCACAATATGGTGACTTAAAGATTCATTATTATATTTTCATCCTTACTAAAGAATAATTGCCCCATGAAGTGGGAGTGGGGGTGGGGGTTAGGATGCTAGTCTGTACCCCCTCAGGATTCTCTTGGGAAAATAATGTCATATTCCAACAATCAGTTCTTTGTTTATGCAGTGTCCAGTATTCTTCATCAATCAACATGATGTTTTTACATTTCTGGCTTTTTTACCATGTTGTGTTTTTTTGTAGAAAAAATCTTGAAATCATATCCCTCTTTATCATATCCCTCTTTTTCCATATTGTTCACTATTTCTTCACTACTTTCCTTTAAAATTTGAAATCCCCCCTTTGAGAAAAGTACCTGGCAGGCCTGTGTGTAAAATTGACAACCAGTTTGATAGAAAACTTGTACATGAATCACATTTGAATTGCTGTTTTGAGTATAGTTTACCATTTGTCCATCAAAAAGTGGCAGGCATCAAGGAGTTAAAATTTCAAATGTTTGTGTCTGCCAGTTCTTGTTGTATACTTTGTAAACAATCTGTTTCCTTTGTGTTGCTAATTCCAAATTGATGGTGATAGTGAAGCATCTTGGATTCATCAATTGTTTGGTAAGGAGAATCTCCAGAAGAAGTAACATTTGAAAGATCTGAAGAGCTCCCTACAGAAAAGTCCCAAGATGAAGGTTGTGAAAATAAGGAAACCACCCTGGATGCAATTTGTCTTCTCCGCAATCTACGTGTAATTACATGTAATGCTTTTACTGCACTCAATACCAAGAGTATTCCCGTTGATGCACTCATTACGATTGCAATAATTTTAAAATCTTGGTTGTGTATTTTCTCTTCCGTTTGATTTTCGTAAAGTATTGAAGTGGTATCTTTTGTAACATTTGCAAAATTCATCGCCATTGTTTCAGTTGTTATGGTGTTCATTAATTTTTCGGTTGATGTATTTAAAATTGTTTTCTGTGTTGTTACATGTGAGGACACGCTGTATTTAGCCTTGGTTGTCTTTGATGTTAAACTGTATGTTGGTGTAGAAGTGTATGGTATGGCATAAGCTTTGGTTTGCCTATACAACTCCCAGCCTTGTTGCCATCCATAAGCCCAATCGGTTCCATCTTGATTAGACTCACATTTATGAACAGAACATATATATTGGTCGCCATGTAAATATTGTTTGTAGAGTACAACATTGCCGATACCACAAACTAATGTAAGGCAATCCGCTAAGTTTACATTCCAAACCGTTCTAGTTTTGGTGCAACTGGAATCAAATCGCCAGCCTATTCTCACTAGAAGGAAATTTGTTTGAAGACAATCACCTGAAAATAAAACTCAGATCAATATGGTACATTAGCCTCCTAAATCCACTCTGAAGTCATGGCACTGTATGATTTTTTTATTATCAATTAAAATAAAATATTACCTGTGATTTATTTATTTGTGATTGATAAGAACAGGGTGAGGCATAAAATGTGTAATGTCATTTGAAAACATCGGTGATATACTGTAGAAGTGCACCACTGTTTCCCCCATTGAACACTCTATCTACATAGAGAATTCATGAAATTGCCATCATTCTCGAGTTATTCTAAAAATTAGAACGCATTTTTGTAGCACCCTGTAATAATAAAAACATAATACTGGAACTTGCACGATTGGTGCATTTTTGTTTTTTCAAAAAAATGAACATGTTTAAAAGCCCATGTAAAAAAAATTATTTGATAATCCTGTTATGATTTTAATGACTTTGATTATTATTTTTATTATTTGAGACATTTTCTGAAAATTTGAATTTTCCCCCAAAAATTGTGAGGTCTTTTAATTTAGAATATTTGGATTTCTAGCCATTTAGACTTTTAGATTATCAAATTCAACACTGTTCACTGTAAGATATATTATTTTCTCAGTCCCTTCGTATTTAGTGATTTGTTTTACATTATACGATTTTTAGATGCTCGTGTATTACCTGTGTTTCTCCTTGCAGCAGTATAGTAAAAATGCAAGGATATAGAATATACCACAAACATAATCCAATAGACAAATAAATTCATTTTCACAAATATTCACTCTAATCAAGAACGCAGCAATATTATTAATGCTTCCTCATTTAAACCTATAAATGGTAATTCTTCACGGGCTTCCAAAGCTAAAAATCAATGAAACACCTTGCCAAGATGTTCAAAAATATTACAATATTGGAATATTTTTAGGCTTCACAATTTCAATACACTTAAGTGTGATATTGTCCAACCTATGTCTTGTTTCAAAATGATTTCCTTATTAACTAAATAAATTAGACAATACAGTCAAAACAGACAATAATCTAAATGTTTGTCAAAAAACACAAAACAGATTTTGGAGAAACTCTTGGGAGCCACCTTATCAAACGTACACTTGATGACTCATGCAATTATCAAATGTAGTTTCGTTTTCTGTTCATGAATGAAATAGACTGAATTATTTGTACTGTTTAATACCATTTAAAGAGGCTTTGTCATTTAGTGGAGCCAATTTTTGTACACTTTGATGTTTGTATTATGAGCTCACATGGTGTGAGCTATTGTTATCACCCACTTTTCTGTCCATCTGTCTGTTTGTTGACACATTGAATATCACTTATAATCCCACCGAACGAAGTTCGAGAGGGATATAGGAAAGCCGTCCGTCCGTCTGTCCGTCCGTCCGTTCGTCCATCTGTTTGTCCGGGTGATAACTCAAATACCGTTTCACGGATTTGATTCAAATTTTATAGGCTTATGCCTTATGGGTGTAGGACCTCTGCTCGAGAAGGAATTTTCAATATGGCCACTGAATTCAAAATGGCCACCATTTTTCATAAAAAATGTAATCTTTAATAACTCAAATACTAGTTTGCGGATTTGGTTCAAATTTTATATGCTGATGCCTAGGGACAACGGAGTGTCGCACAAAAAGAGATTTTCAAGATGGCCGCTTAATTTTAAAATGGCGGCCATTTTTCATAAAAATATGTAATCTTTGATAACTCAAATACCAGTGAATGGATTTGGTTCAAATTTTATATGATGATGCTTAGGGACACAGTAGCTATGTTCAACAAAAAATTTTCAAGATGGCCGCTTAATTTCAAAATGGCGGCAATTTTTTGTAGAAAACGTAATCTTTGATAACTCAAATACCAGTGAACGGATTTGGTTGAAATTTTATATGATTATGCCTAGGGACACAGTAGGTCTGTTCAAGAAATAATTTTCAAGATGGGGCTGAATTTCAAGATGGCGCCCAATTAAAAAAACGTAATCTTTGATAACTCATACACCAGTGAACGGATTTGGTTCAAATTTTATAGGCTTATGCCTTATGAGTGTAGGACCTCTGCTCAAGAAGGAATCTTCAATATGGTCGCTCAATTAAATATGGCCGCCATTTTTCGTAAAAAATGTAATCGTTGATAATTCAAATACAAGTTGACGGATTTGGTTCAAATTTTATATGCTGATGCCTAGGGACAAAGGAGTTTTGCACAAAAAGAAATTTTCAAGATGGCAGTTTTATATTAATATGGCGGCCATTTTTCGTAAAAATATGTAATCTTTGAGACAAAGGAGTTGAAATGAAAGGAGTTTTGCACAAAAAGAAATTTTCAAGATGGCCGTTTAATTTTAATATGGCGGCCATTTTTCGTAAAAATATGTAATCTTTGATAACTCAAATACCAGTGAACGGATTTGGTTCAAATTTTATATGATGATGCTTAGGGACACAGTAGCTATGTTCGACAAAAATTTTTCAAGATGGCCGCTTAATTTCAAAATGGCGGCAATTTTTCATAAAAAATGTGATCTTTGATAACTCGAATACCAGTGAACAGATTTGGTTGAAATTTTATATGATTATGCCTAGGGACACAGTAGCTCTGTTCAAGAAATAATTATCAAGATGGCGGCTGAATTTTAAGATGGCGGCCAATTTTCGTAAAAAACTTAATCTTTGATAACTCATATACCAGTGAACGGATTTGGTTCAAATTTTATATGATGATGCCTAGTTCATAATGGTTTAAACTAACTTTGTGCCAAATTTCATGCTTCTATCACAAAGTGCACAAACATTTCAACATTTACACTAGCTATAATAAGCATAATATGTTTTGTTCGGTGGGATTTGCTACTCCGTGGAGTTGCTGTTTTTCTAGTTATGTTTTAAATCCAAAAGTATTATATAGATTTATTCAAAATCCGACAGGTTCGATACTTTATAGATTAACAATAATGTCTACAAGTTTTGGCAAAATATCCTGTAAAGATTCAAAATGGAAGCTACTTTTATTGTTGAAATATCATATATTATTATAATATTGTACATATATTTTTTATATGTATATGCAGGGGGTCTCACGCAAACTTTTGAATGGTGCAGTACAATTCATTGAATTCATCAAAATTATGTATCCACAGAAAGTAAGAAGCTCATTTTACAAAAGTGTGATCTCATGAAAAGACCATTCTCGGTTTGAGAATGAAGATCATCGGCTTATTTCGACGTAAAATGTTTTTCGAAATTTTCAATGTCGCCAACAATATTGATATTTACATGTTGTAACGTGATAGTGTAACATTTCAGAGTTCACATTATTGAGAGACTGGGGGATAAAGTTGATATAACATTAGAAGATCTTATTGAAACACTTCGTGCTGAGGATATAGGAGCAGAAGAGGATGCTGCAGAGGTAAAACACTTTAATCTTCTTAATATATGAAATGTTGGCTTTATGGGTAAACAAAGTTGTAATAGAGTGCACTGCTCAATAATAGTGAACGATTTGAGTTCATCTCATGCAGTTTAAGGTTTTATTGTGTACGTGTATGTGTTCTACAACGAGATGGTTTAAACCTATACCTATAAACCTATACTACAGTTTATCATAAAAAATTAGTGTAGTTTTTACTTCGGAAGTTTTTAAAATATTTTGCTGAATGATATACTTCTCTATAAAAGACAAAAAAAACTTGATGTCTACACGAGTGAATGAATTCAAATACAATTTCCCTTCACTCACTGTTGACACAATGATTTATATTATTTTTGTCGTATTATCATCTACGGCTTCATTGCATATATTTTCTATTGTGCATTGCAGATATTTGGACTCATGGATAGAAACAATGATGCAATTCTGGACAAAGACGAGCTTCTCACATTCGATGTGGACCAACTGGTAGCTGAATTCCCTGATATCTTTGGGAATTATGAAGATGACAACCCTGATGAAGAATCAATTGAAGATGAAAATGAAGATGAAAATGACATTGCCAAAGATGAACTATAGGAATAGGATTTATAGTGCATACCATGACACAAGTCTTACTTGGTAGTACAAACCACACAAATATTTCATAATTTTGCAAAAACTGAAGTGGCTGCAATTGGATTTTCAACAAGGTGCAAGATAACCTCAGCTCTCAAATCAGTGCAGTAGTGCCCTCCACTGCAAATTCACATTTGATGAAATCCAGAATCTTGACAATATTAGGATAAAGCCAAACTATGAGCTGCCGGTGATGTATGATAATGACTAATTATAAGTAAAGTAATCCAGATGCATAATCATAATAAAATATTCAGATTATATATTATTCTGACTATACTCTCTTACGAGCTTAGGAAATGCTTTAACAAGTTTTAAGTTCAAATGCTCAATATGAGAGTTTCTATTAATATTTAGAGAATTTTTAAGAAATATTTATGTGGGTATTAACACAAGACACTATGAGCATAATTTTCTAATTGATGTGGAAAGTGCATTCACATTATTTGAAAGTTTCTTTATAAATATACAGTGAAGCCTCTCTAAAAGACGGAGCATCTCTAAAAGATGGAACACCTTCATAAGTGGAACACTTCAATGGCATCCATTGTTTATTAAAAATAATCTTCCTGAAGTGAAGTATCACTTTCTCAGGTTTAACTGTCAATATTCAGTTCATGTACATATTTGTATATACATGTAGTTAATCTGAAAACATTGGATCAAATCCTATGTTAAAGTTGATGGAAGTATTTTTCATGTGATTTGCAGTGATAGGAAGAAATCCAAGATTTAAACAATTGCAAAGTAGTGTGTCAGTACAATGGAAGAGAAATCCAAGAATAATATTCATGTAATTGAATGCTTTCATACACGCCCGGTGATCGTGAATATGGGACGGAGGGGGGGAGCAGGCAATTTCTGCTAGGAAATTCAACAAATCTGGAAGATTTATTTTTTCAAGAAAAAGTTTACTATTGAATTGCTAAATGGATAGGCGCACGGTATGGTAGAATATGTTAGGTTTTCTGGGATTTTTTCTGAAACGATACGCATCTAAGGTATGAGATCTATTAAAAAAGGTGCAAGGCCATCAACAGGCACAAATCAACGTTTTTGCTATAAATCAAGCAACAATGGTCTGGACGACCTGTAATAAATACTTGTAAGTGATGTTATCATAACTAAATTAATGTCATTGCTGAATTTATAAAATAAGTTTCCATATGTGAAATAAAAAATAATCGAAAATAATGAATTTGGGACGGAGGGGGGGAGGGGACGGAGGGGGGAGCAATATGTATATAAGACATGATTAGAGATGTTTCGCGACTTTAAGTCCTTTTACTCCAAATGTCCCCATTTTTCAGTCTCCAGGGGTATATCATCCAGTTTCTTACTAAGTTAATGAGTTCATTTTTCAAATACAAGAATTCGTGTGAAGTTGTTTCACTTTATAGAATTATTACTCCCCCCCTCCGTCCCCTCCCCCCTCCGTCCCATTTTAATTATTTTCGATTATTTTTTATTTTACGTATGGAAACTTATTTTATAAAATCAGCAAAGACATTAATTTAGTTATGCTAACATCACTTACAAGTATTTATTACAGGTCGTGTAGTCCATTGTTGCTTGATTTATAGCAAAAACTTTGACTTTTGCACGTTGGTTGCGTTGCGCCTTTTTTAATAGATCTTATATCTTAAAAGAGTATCGGTTGAAAAATAATCCTAGAATACCTAACATATTTTATCATACCGTGCGCTTATTCAATTTGCAATTCAATCGTAAACTCTGTCTTGAAAAAATAATTTTACCAGATTTGTTGAATTTTCTAGCGGAAATTGCCTGCTCCCCCCTCCGTCCCATTTTCACGATCACCGGGCGTGTCATAGGCCTAGCCGGGCATGAGCTCGGTGAGGCCTCATCAAAGTCAAGAAAGTTTCTAGAACTAATACTCTGAAAATGTAGTCCAAATGTAATAATACAGCCCATTTACCCTAATATGCCCCCTCCCTCTTATTCTGTAAGCACCACAAGTGGTGACATATTCTTATAGCCTCCACTCTTGTGGCTGCGGTGGTGGTTATTGTTTGGCATCTAGCGGTTGGTGTTCGGCAGTTGGTATTTGGTTAAATTATAGGTGGTGACATTTTGCATGATAATGTCTTGTATTATCCGGACTACCCTTGGTATTTAGTGAATACTGAACTATCCGTATTATGTCATTCTGATGTTCTTTGCATATCTCAACCTTGCATTTACACTGATACAGGATGATCTTAGTATTGCTATTGTGAAACTGGTCAAACAATATGTCATACACATGTATATGTAATATGCAGTATTTTTTATTACTTATTTATTTTTCAGTGAGCTTTTTATTAGAAAGATTTTGAAGATTTTTACACCACCAAAAGTGGTGACATATTGTTATGGTGTACATTTTTATGTCATCACCAAACGTGGAGAAATATATCGTTATGGCTCCCATTTTTTGTGACGTTGGTTTGCATTCAATGTCTGACATGTAGTGTTCAGCATCTGTAACAAATGGCAGGTGGTGACATTTTGGATGTTAATGCCTTGTTAATAGTGTTGTTTTGTTATTGTTATAAAAAGAATATTTGTCAAAATGAGGTGATATTTTAGAAAGTGTCAGGGATAGATTAAAGTTCAAATGGACAAGTAGAAAAAAATTGCAATATAAATGCCTTGTTCAATAGATATATTTTTGTACAGAATAATATGCCATGGTGTGACATTCTAAAAGTTAATATATATAGATTGTTGAGATGTATGTGTAATGTGCAGTTAGACCTGTGAACACATGTGGAAACTGGAAATGGCTCAACTGTTCACTTACATTTTTTATATTTACATCCTCAGTTTGTTATGATCAGTGATAACACAAGTAACATATTATTCCTACTATATGCCTTGAAGATACTCCAAACAAATGTTCATAATTCTTTGATACTGACTTTTACTTCTAGTGAATAACCTCTGAGTAAATGATGTATTTTTTACTGTTTTAGTATTTAGATGATATTTGAATGTCAACAGGTGTGGAGTGGAAGCATAAAGTTGATTTAATGAAGTAGAGGAGCTTCACGATGACTTTGTATGTTGAACAATGAACATCAACATGAACTTTGGTTATCTCATTCAATACTGGGGCAAAAATTACTATAATACGGACTTTTTGAAAATTGCCATATATGGTACCTGGATAATGTACCCTGTCCGGTGTACTATATAGTACATGTATAATGTTATATATCATTTTAAAGCAATGTATTGAATGAATGAATTAAACTATAAACAAATTAATCAATTTTCACAAACTCTTACATGGCAGAATAGAAGAGTATTGTTAAGCATCAAATGCTACTGTACAATGTAGGTGAATAGGTGCAATATGGAAATGAAATGTCAGCGAGGGATTTTGATTCTCTTCGAATACAATAAGCTCGATAATTACCGTATGTAGAATCAGTGACATTCAGTTTGATTAACAAATAAAATCACTTTAATACCTTTATACTATTTTATACATGAATAAATATTAATACAATTAATAAAACAAAGGTCTGTTTGTTCATCTGTCTGTTTGTTGACACATTGAATATCACTTATAATGTTTTAAACCCAAAAGTATTATATAGATTTATTCAAAATCCGACAGGTTCGATACTTTATAGATTAACAATAATGTCTACAAGTTTTGGCAAAATATCCTGTAAAGATTCAAAATGGCAGCTACTTTTATTGTTGAAATATCACATATTATTGTAATACGTATTGTATATATATATTTTTTTTATATTCATATGCTTGAAATTGTACACCCAGCTAAGTGTAGAGGTTAACAATAATGTCTAGAAGATTGGACAAAATAGTTTGTAAAATGTAAAAATGGATGTAAAAATACAATTTTTCAATTTTATGTATGATTTTTTTTATGTACCAAAGTGCAACAAAGATGCACCATGCCATTACTTGGTATGCACCATTCAAAAGTTTGTGTGAGACTCCCCCCCCCACGCAGGCATGGATGGGGAATTTGACCCTGGGGGCAATAAATCTGGTCAAATATTCAAGACCCGTGCCCCTCACCTGAACTTACTTTTTTAAATATTTACTGACTTGTAGGCTAATGTTCATGAATGTTAAGAGATACACTTGTAGCACTTTGTTTAAATCAATATTTTAATAAGGGACTCCATATATGGTCAAATGATTTTCGCGCAAAGCCTGGTTAACCATTAGAGAAAAGCGTTTTCAACATGATGTCTTATAGTAGAATTCCAGTTCAAATCGCCTGATAATCTCAGCAATTTTACCCCTGAAACTGTACCCAACATGTAGAGGAGTTTATTTTCATCTGTTCTCGGCATAAGAGATCATTAGTTCGCTGAATTTACCGATCATTTGCAAATCATAAGTTTCCTAAAGTGTGTACTGGACGAAACAAATCCAGTCAAAAATCCCCACTCCTGGGTACATGTGTATCAAATTCCTTACCCTCCCTGTGCAGGGGGTCTAACGCAAACTTTTGAATGGTGCAGTACAATTCATTGAATTCATCAATATTATGTATCAACAGAAAGTAAGAAGCTCATTTTACAAAAGTGTGATCTCATGAAAAGACCATTCTCGGTTTGAGAATGAAGTTCATCGGCTTATTTCGACGTAAAATGTTTTTCAACATTATCAATGTCGCCAACAATTTTGATATTTACATGTTGTAACGTGATACTGTAACATTTCAGAGTTCACATTATTGAGAGACTGGGGGATAAAGTTGATATAACATTAGAAGATCTTATTGAAACACTTCGTGCTGAGGATATAGGAGCAGAAGAGTATGCTGCAGAGGTAAAACACTTTAATCTTCTTAATATATGAAATGTTGGCTTTATGGGTAAACAAAGTTGTAATAGAGTGCAATGCTCAATCATAGTGAACGATTTGAGTTCATCTCATGCAGTTTAAGGATTCATCGTGTACGTGTATGTGTTCTACAACGAGATGGTTTAAACCTATACCTATAAACCTTTACTACATTTATCATAAAAAATTAGTGTAGTTTTTACTTCGGAAGTTCTTTAAAATATTTTGCTGAATGATATACTTCTCTATAAAAGACTAAAAAAACTTGATGTCTTCAGGAGTGAATGAATTAAAATACAATTTCCCTTCACTCACTGTTGACAAAATGATTTATATTATTTTTGTCGTATTATCATCTACGGCTTTATTGCATATATTTTCTATTGTGCATTGTAGATATTTGGGCTCATGGATAGAAACAATGATGCAATTCTGGACAAAGACGAGCTTCTCACATTCGATGTGGACCAACTGGTAGCTGAATTCCCTGATATCTTTGGGAATTATGAAGATGACAACCCTGATGAAGAATCAATTGAAGATGAAAATGAAGATGAAAATGACATTGCCAAAGATGAACTATAGGAATAGGATTTATAGTGCATACCATGACACAAGTCTTACTTGGTAGTACAAACCACACAAATATTTCATAATTTTGCAAAAACTGAAGTGGCTGCAATTGGATTTTCAACAAGGTGCAAGATAACCTCAGCTCTCAAATCAGTGCAGTAGTGCCCTCCACTGCAAATTCACATTTGATGAAATCCAGAATCTTGACAATATTAGGATAAAGCCAAACTATGAGCTGCCGGTGATGTATGATAATGACTAATTATAAGTAAAGTAATCCAGATGCATAATCATAATAAAATATTCAGATTATATATTATTCTGACTATACTCTCTTACGAGCTTAGGAAATGCTTTAACAAGTTTTAAGTTCAAATGCTCAATATGAGAGTTTCTATTAATATTTAGAGAATTTTTAAGAAATATTTATGTGGGTATTAACACAAGACACTATGAGCATAATTTTCTAATTGATGTGGAAAGTGCATTCACATTATTTGAAAGTTTCTTTATAAATATACAGTGAAGCCTCTCTAAAAGACGGAGCATCTCTAAAAGATGGAACACCTTCATAAGTGGAACACTTCAATGGCATCCATTGTTTATTAAAAATAATCTTCCTGAAGTGAAGTATCACTTTCTCAGGTTTAACTGTCAATATTCAGTTCATGTACATATTTGTATATACATGTAGTTAATCTGAAAACATTGGATCAAATCCTATGTTAAAGTTGATGGAAGTATTTTTCATGTGATTTGCAGTGATAGGAAGAAATCCAAGATTTAAACAATTGCAAAGTAGTGTGTCAGTACAATGGAAGAGAAATCCAAGAATAATATTCATGTAATTGAATGCTTTCATACACGCCCGGTGATCGTGAATATGGGACGGAGGGGGGGAGCAGGCAATTTCTGCTAGGAAATTCAACAAATCTGGAAGATTTATTTTTTCAAGAAAAAGTTTACTATTGAATTGCTAAATGGATAGGCGCACGGTATGGTAGAATATGTTAGGTTTTCTGGGATTTTTTCTGAAACGATACGCATCTAAGGTATGAGATCTATTAAAAAAGGTGCAAGGCCATCAACAGGCACAAATCAACGTTTTTGCTATAAATCAAGCAACAATGGTCTGGACGACCTGTAATAAATACTTGTAAGTGATGTTATCATAACTAAATTAATGTCATTGCTGAATTTATAAAATAAGTTTCCATATGTGAAATAAAAAATAATCGAAAATAATGAATTTGGGACGGAGGGGGGGAGGGGACGGAGGGGGGAGCAATATGTATATAAGACATGATTAGAGATGTTTCGCGACTTTAAGTCCTTTTACTCCAAATGTCCCCATTTTTCAGTCTCCAGGGGTATATCATCCAGTTTCTTACTAAGTTAATGAGTTCATTTTTCAAATACAAGAATTCGTGTGAAGTTGTTTCACTTTATAGAATTATTACTCCCCCCCTCCGTCCCCTCCCCCCTCCGTCCCATTTTAATTATTTTCGATTATTTTTTATTTTACGTATGGAAACTTATTTTATAAAATCAGCAAAGACATTAATTTAGTTATGCTAACATCACTTACAAGTATTTATTACAGGTCGTGTAGTCCATTGTTGCTTGATTTATAGCAAAAACTTTGACTTTTGCACGTTGGTTGCGTTGCGCCTTTTTTAATAGATCTTATATCTTAAAAGAGTATCGGTTGAAAAATAATCCTAGAATACCTAACATATTTTATCATACCGTGCGCTTATTCAATTTGCAATTCAATCGTAAACTCTGTCTTGAAAAAATAATTTTACCAGATTTGTTGAATTTTCTAGCGGAAATTGCCTGCTCCCCCCTCCGTCCCATTTTCACGATCACCGGGCGTGTCATAGGCCTAGCCGGGCATGAGCTCGGTGAGGCCTCATCAAAGTCAAGAAAGTTTCTAGAACTAATACTCTGAAAATGTAGTCCAAATGTAATAATACAGCCCATTTACCCTAATATGCCCCCTCCCTCTTATTCTGTAAGCACCACAAGTGGTGACATATTCTTATAGCCTCCACTCTTGTGGCTGCGGTGGTGGTTATTGTTTGGCATCTAGCGGTTGGTGTTCGGCAGTTTGTATTTGGTTAAATTATAGGTGGTGACATTTTGCATGATAATGTCTTGTATTATCCGGACTACCCTTGGTATTTAGTGAATACTGAACTATCCGTATTATGTCATTCTGATGTTCTTTGCATATCTCAACCTTGCATTTACACTGATACAGGATGATCTTAGTATTGCTATTGTGAAACTGGTCAAACAATATGTCATACACATGTATATGTAATATGCAGTATTTTTTATTACTTATTTATTTTTCAGTGAGCTTTTTATTAGAAAGATTTTGAAGATTTTTACACCACCAAAAGTGGTGACATATTGTTATGGTGTACATTTTTATGTCATCACCAAACGTGGAGAAATATATCGTTATGGCTCCCATTTTTTGTGACGTTGGTTTGCATTCAATGTCTGACATGTAGTGTTCAGCATCTGTAACAAATGGCAGGTGGTGACATTTTGGATGTTAATGCCTTGTTAATAGTGTTGTTTTGTTATTGTTATAAAAAGAATATTTGTCAAAATGAGGTGATATTTTAGAAAGTGTCAGGGATAGATTAAAGTTCAAATGGACAAGTAGAAAAAAATTGCAATATAAATGCCTTGTTCAATAGATATATTTTTGTACAGAATAATATGCCATGGTGTGACATTCTAAAAGTTAATATATATAGATTGTTGAGATGTATGTGTAATGTGCAGTTAGACCTGTGAACACATGTGGAAACTGGAAATGGCTCAACTGTTCACTTACATTTTTTATATTTACATCCTCAGTTTGTTATGATCAGTGATAACACAAGTAACATATTATTCCTACTATATGCCTTGAAGATACTCCAAACAAATGTTCATAATTCTTTGATACTGACTTTTACTTCTAGTGAATAACCTCTGAGTAAATGATGTATTTTTTACTGTTTTAGTATTTAGATGATATTTGAATGTCAACAGGTGTGGAGTGGAAGCATAAAGTTGATTTAATGAAGTAGAGGAGCTTCACGATGACTTTGTATGTTGAACAATGAACATCAACATGAACTTTGGTTATCTCATTCAATACTGGGGCAAAAATTACTATAATACGGACTTTTTGAAAATTGCCATATATGGTACCTGGATAATGTACCCTGTCCGGTGTACTATATAGTACATGTATAATGTTATATATCATTTTAAAGCAATGTATTGAATGAATGAATTAAACTATAAACAAATTAATCAATTTTCACAAACTCTTACATGGCAGAATAGAAGAGTATTGTTAAGCATCAAATGCTACTGTACAATGTAGGTGAATAGGTGCAATATGGAAATGAAATGTCAGCGAGGGATTTTGATTCTCTTCGAATACAATAAGCTCGATAATTACCGTATGTAGAATCAGTGACATTCAGTTTGATTAACAAATAAAATCACTTTAATACCTTTATACTATTTTATACATGAATAAATATTAATACAATTAATAAAACAAAGGAAGTTTGTAATGTTGTTTTGCACATACCATATTCTCTCCAAAGAGCGCACATCCCCCAAAGAGTACATATGTTACTTTAACATTAAGATTGACTTACCAACAAAATCAAAATTGACTTACTCCTTTTCCAACAGAGCTTTGAGCTGTACACTTTTTGTAGAGAATACAGTGAGATTTTGCTTCTCATAATAATGCAGTCTATGCTATGCTATGATTTGCATATAGTAAACCTGTCAGTAGTCATCCTAATAGATGATCTCACTGTTATTTTCACTGCAAAAAACAGTTGAAAATCAGTGAACAAATCAGTTAGTTTGACATATGCTAATATGCTCCTAGTGGTGACATAATGTCACAGTCTCTACTTTTTGTTTCTGGCAGAAGCATTCAGTCAGCATTTGTAACAAATGTTACACTTTTGTAATTTAAGATTAAAGGTGTAGTAACTCAAATATTTCCCCCTAATTAACAACACATTGACAATTAGATCATTAGAACAAAAAAGCCTGTGGGGTATTTGTAAAAATCCTTGGAAATTGGCTGTTAATTTAAGGATTTAAGCCCTGGACTCGGTGCATTGCCGACTGAATATCATTCTTCCAAGGTGTTGTTTCAAACTTAGCACAACAAAGGTTCGCAGAGTCTAGTGCTAAGTTTAGTAAACAATGCTCGAGTGAATTGAATCAGCCACAATGCATTGAGTCTTGGGCTCAAATTAATTGCAAAATATACCTGCTATTATTTAGATGCAGGCCATACACACTAGTGGTGACATAAGAAAGACAAGGCATTAACATGACAAAATGTCACCATCTAAAACAATTTGGTCAATTTATAGCAAGTTGGAAAATACCTTTTGACCTTGAGAAGGTCATTGAAGGTCAAAGGTCAAATCTAAAGTCAGATTTGAACTTCTGAGAACTTGTAAAGTCAAATTTGAACTTTTGAAAAGATGTAGATGATTTTGAAAAAAAAATTTGGTCAATTTGAAGCAAGTTGAAAACAGATCTTTTTGACCTTTTTTGACCTTGAGAAGGTCATTAAAGGTCAAATGTCAAATCTAAAGTCAGATTTGAATTCCTGAGAACATGTAGATGATTTTGAAAAAAAAATTAGTCAATTAGAAGCAAGTTGAAAAAATACCTTTTTGACCCTTTTTGACATTGAGAAGGTCATTGAAGGTCAAATGTCAAATCTAAAGTCAGATTTGAATTTCTGAGAACATGTAGATGATTTTGAAAAAAAAATTTAGTCAATTTGAAGCAAGTTGAAAAAAGACCTTTTTGACCTTTTTTGACTTTGAGAAGGCCATTGAAGGTCAAATGTCAAATCTAAAGTCAGATTTGAATTTCTGAGAACATGTAGATGATTTTGAAAAAAAAATTTAGTCAATTTGAAGCAAGTTGAAAAAAGACCTTTTTGACCTTTTTTGACTTTGAGAAGGTCATTGAAGGTCAAATGTCAAATCTTAAGTCAAATCTAAAGTCAGATTTGAATTTCTGAGAACACGTAGATGATTTTGAAATTTTTTTTTAGTCAATTTGAAGCAAGTTGAAAACAGACCTTTTTGACCTTTTTTGACCTTGAGAAGGTCAAATGTCAAATCTTAAGTCAGATTTGAATTTCTGAGAACACGTAGATGATTTTGAAAAAACAAATTTAGTCAATTTGAAGCAAGTTGAAAACAGACCTTTTTGACCTTTTTTGACCTTGAGAAGGTCATTGAAGGTCAAATGTCAAATCTAAAGTCAGATTTGAAGGTCAAATGTCAAATCTAAAGTCAGATTTGAATTTCTGAGAACATGTAGATTTTGAAAAAAAAATTTAGTCAATTTGAAGCAAGTTGAAAAAAGACCTTTTTGACCTTTTTTGACTTTGAGAAGGTCATTGAAGGTCAAATGTCAAATCTTAAGTCAAATCTAAAGTCAGATTTGAATTTCTGAGAACACGTAGATGATTTTGAAAATTTTTTTTAGTCAATTTGAAGCAAGTTGAAAACAGACCTTTTTGACCTTTTTTGACCTTGAGAAGGTCAAATGTCAAATCAGATTTGAATTTCTGAGAACACGTAGATGATTTTGAAAAAAAAATTTAGTCAATTTGAAGCAAGTTGAAAACAGACCTTTTCGACCTTTTTTGACCTTGAGAAGGTCATTGAAGGTCAAATGTCAAATCTAAAGTCAGATTTGAAGGTCAAATGTCAAATCTAAAGACAAATCTAAAGTCAGATTTGAATTTCTGAGAACATGTAGATGATTTTGAAAAAAAATTTAGTCAATGTGAAGCAAGTTGAAAAAAGACCTTTTTGACCTTGAGAAGGTCATTGAAGGTCAAATGTCAAATCTAAAGTCAGATTTGAACTTCTGAGAACATGTAGATGATTTAGAAAAAAATTGAAGTCAGTCTAAACAGTATTTGCTAAGTTATAGGAAGTTGTAAGAAATTGTTACAGACGCCGGACGCCGGACGCCAACCTCCAACCACCAACCGCCAACCGCCGTCGCAAAAAAACGGAGACCATAACAATATGTCACCACTTTTGGTGGTGACATAAAAATTAACATCTACTTGTTCGGTGGGATTTGTAACTTTGTTACTTTTATTTATTTGAAAATTTACAAACTCTGTACTACATATTCCAAAAATTGATATTGACAGTTGTTGGGTGGGACTTGCTACTTGGAGTTACTTTCATTTGCAAAATGACCTACATATAAGATCTTCATATATTGATAGTTGAAAGCCTCAGCCTATGTTCTAAACTTCGGAGGATGATGAACTTTGATTCATGTTTATTTGGAGAACAAAGACTGTGACATGAAAAAATAAAGACTGAAAAATGTACAGTAATACCTTACATTCATTGCTAAATCCCAAGGGCCATTGTACCCTGATTGAAGTACAAGTTAAGATTTACATTCTCTTTGTGACATATCTTTGATCTCCAAAGCACTGACACTAGTGATAACTGAAACTACTTGGGATTTTGTGAAATAGATTTTTATCCAACTTAGAAGCCCATTGCACATATTTGAAATGAGAAGAAACATGAAATATTGACAATTTCGTACACATTTGGTTTGAATTGTGAAAATGAAGTAAAATCTTGAAGAACATTTCTAATAGTTTTGGCTTCATTTTCATTCTCTGCGTGTATCAGAATCTCTACGATAATTCAATCAGAACATTCACCATCTTCAAGTTCAACATCTTCAGATTCATTTATAGCATTAGGTTTAATAATATCCTTCTCAGTTCCTTTGTTTATCTCAGATTCCATCTCTTCAGTGTCTTTACTTCCAGTTAAAGGGTCAGTATTACTGTTAGCAGATTTTATGACATCTGCTGGTTCAATTGGTCTAATATACATGGAATCCTTTACTATACTGTCACTTTCATCATCATTTTCCATTTCTTGAGAATTTGTACTTGATGTCCTGGATGACCTTGACCCTGGTCTGTTACTTTCACCTAAGTGACCTTTGGCCTTCATACGTTCTCGTTCTCTCTGGTAACGTGCAAGGTCTGCCATTAGGCTATCTTGTGAAGTATTTTGTTTTTTCCGTCTAAATTGTTTTCTTCTCCTATAAGTAAATGTCGTAAGCAAAGTTGAGGTTAAAATCTGTTCCAAAAGGAAAAGATTTCAAGCCAAATTCTAAATTACTCAGAGAATCACTTCAAATGACGAATGTATTAAATAAATACATTACATTGTATAACAAAAAAATATTGAAATCTGATTTTTTTATAGTAAGAGCATTAGTGTAAATCTAAATAAACCACAATAATTCTAAGTTTGAAAAATGCAAAAGTTCTTGCAGAAACACAAAAAGATCTTGTAGGGAAGCACAAACACTGATAGATGGATGAGTGTGTAATTAAAAAAAAAACCAAAACCAAAATGTTGATATGTTTTTTGATGTGTTTGTTATACTAATCTCAAATGAATACTTACTGTGCACGTTTTCTGTCTTGTATTTTTTCACATGCAAATATTTCATCAAGCATTTCCTTGGTTACACTTTTGTCAGACTTTAGGAGCTGGATGTACACACCCCCTGGTGTCCGTCTTCTTTGGCCATTCTACAACATTAACATTTTGTATAATTCAACTGTAGACTACTAAACTATACTATACTAAATGACAGACTACAGATTTAACTAATGTGATGGTTTACATTGTTTTTATGCAGTATTTTTTCAACAATGGTTAGAATTTTGCACATCAAACAACGAAGTAATTAGTTCCTAAAATCCATTTGTTTGTTTTCACCAAGTTGAAAATTATTGAAAGTGTAATGGATATGTGGACTAGTTTTTTGACAACATAGTGAATCAAAGAAAGAACTCTTTTTGACATACAGTAAAATATTTGGGAATGGAACACCTTTGCAATCTCAAAACATCATTCCACTTATGGAGGTGTTCCACTTACAGAGGTCCATTTTACATTGAGTTAAATGGTGATGAAACTTTTGAGAAGTAATCCATTTTACATGGCAGTGTTCAACTTACAGAGGTCCATTTTACATTGAGCTAAATGGTGATGAAACTTTTGAGAAGTAATCCATTTTACATGGCAGTGTTCAACTTACAGAGGTCCATTTTACATTGAGTTAAATGGTGATGAAACTTTTGAGAAGTAATCCATTTTACATGGCAGTGTTCAACTTACAGAGGTCCATTTTACATTGAGCAAATGGTGATGAAACGTATGAGAAGTAATCCATTTTACATGGCAGTGTTCAACTTACAGAGGTCCATTTTACATTGAGCTAAATGGTGATGAAACTTTTGAGAAGTAATCCATTTTACATGGCAGCGTTCCACTTACAGAGGTCCATTTTACATTGAGTTAAATGGTGATGAAACTTTTGAGAAGTATTCCACTTATGGCAGTGTTCAACTTACAGAGGTCCATTTTACATTGAGTTAAATGGTGATGAAACTTTTGAGAAGTAATCCATTTTACATGGCAGTGTTCAACTTACAGAGGTCCATTTTACATTGAGCAAATGGTGATGAAACGTATGAGAAGTAATCCATTTTACATGGCAGTGTTCAACTTACAGAGGTCCATTTTACATTGAGCTAAATGGTGATGAAACTTTTGAGAAGTAATCCATTTTACATGGCAGTGTTCAACTTACAGAGGTCCATTTTACATTGAGCTAAATGGTGATGAAACTTTTGAGAAGTAATCCATTTTACATGGCAGTGTTCAACTTACAGAGGTCAATTTTACATTGAGTTAAACGGTGATGAAACTTTTGAGAAGTATTCCACTTATGGAGGTGTCCCACGGGTGTTTCTGTACATGTACTTACCATAATCATCATGCCACCAGATTCCTCAACATCCTCTGTTAGATACAGGAGTTCTAGTGCCTTTTTGCTTCCTACACAGTTCATTATGTTGGCTGCAGTGAGAAAATAATACATTTTCATCATGCAATTATTTGACAGCCCATTTAATACAAAAAGAGGGATGCAACTGTACCCCTCTTTAGAATTTATTGCTTTCAATATTATATAGGCTTGATTTTATTTTCTCCAGAGTCAACATTATTTAAGGTTCGAACATGACTGTATTCACGCCTTCTAAAAACTGAACCAAGTCAATATTTCTCTGGGTAATACGAGTAATGTGTGGTGTCATTATGTTGGACAGTAGTAATAGCGGGCCATCATAAATATTCGAAATATTTTGGCGAGTTTTCATGTGGTCGAATCGTAGACCTCAGATCAATGAATAAACCCCTTAGGGTAAGGCACAAAAGCCTTCAAAATCCTCACTCCTTTCGGTCGTTCAGGGTACAGAAAAAGTTTGTGGCTAGAACTGCAGAGTTTTTTCGTTGATAAAACATGTGACCTTCAGTCTATATTTCTAAAATAAATCAGAAACTTCAGTGCTCTAAAAATATGGTTTAGCAATATATGAAACATAGGAAGAATGATTAGAAGGTATGTACACTTAACCATATAAATTACTATTATAAATAAAAATATCTTACTAAAAAGTTCTTCATTTTTTTCATCAAGTCGTTGAAGTATCACTTCAAGAACCTTCTCTATTGGGTCTTCAGGAGTTGCTTTTAGGTGATCTCTAGGCTTATGCTTATCATAGGTCCTCTGTCCTAGTCTATCACGCACTGTTCTTTTGCGTGCCCTTGACTTTTCTATTTTCTCTCGAGCATCAGGTAAAGGCTTAATATTATCAACAGGCATTTCATCTTCATTGTCCTTTTGATCACTTCCTTTCAAAATTTGTTCAAAGGGATCGTTAGGTGTTACTTCAATTTTTTCGATGTCAGGACGAGTGTCATCTTTAGCAGATTTATAGTCATAACTTTCAACATTTCTTTCTTCGTCATCACTGGGGTTTCTGTCCATTCCAAAACTTGTTAGCACTGACGAGACTGCTTGTTCTTGAACAACACTTCCCCAAATATTGTTCTTTCTGCGCCCTTTGCTTCCAGAAGTTACCTCAGTTTTGTTACCATTAGAAAAATCATTTCTCGCATTTTGTTGTTTGTGTAAAAGTATGGGATTTTGAAATGTTGAATGAGAATTGAAGTCCATAGATCGTGTACTATGACTGCTCTTTTTTCGCTTAAAGGAAATTCCGTCATCATCCTCATCACTATCATTGCTGTCGCTATCTTCTGAGCTGGAGTTATTGGTTTGAGGAGCACGGTAACTTGGTATATTAGGAGGTGATTTGGCTGGGATGTTTGTCTGAATAGTCTGAAATAAAATGACAGAATGAATAAGAATTGTATTGGAAATAACCAAGAAGTCAGTTGACAGCAGTCAATAAAAACTAAAAGCCAACGATTGAAATTAGTCAAACACTGACACTTGACAGGTGAAAAGTTTAGGCTAAGACAACTGAAAAAAATAATGCATGTGACAAATCGAATCGTTTTTACGGTATTTATAAACTTAAGTCTTTAATGAAACTCTGCAAAGATATGGCTTGAGGATTTCTCCCATGCGTTTATACCATGAATGACTGTGCTGCTTTCGTCGAGGCGCCGATTTCCTCGTCGGATCCCGAAATTTCACCGTCTTCCATTTTGCAGCATAAGTGACAAACAAATAACTGATTAACTGAAACTTTATATCTTCTTTATTTGTTATATAATCGTCTTTATCATCAAAAAAATTCAAACATAGTATATATTTTATTTATTTTTAGGATTTTGTTGATTTTTATTGGCATTTTTAAGAATATAATTAAAATGTGAATAGGTTGGATATTTCTTGTTTTAAAATTGCATTTCCACTTCCGCTTGCAACATTTTTAGTTTTCCAAACATATTTTCTCGAAAATGTTAGATTTATTCACCATATTTAGTAAAGGAGGCATCGTTCTATGGTGTTTTCAGGGGACAAGCCAATTATTTACCCCCTCGGTGAACGCCCTCATCAAAACTGTGATATTACAGGTAAAAATCAAATTTCCTAAAAAAAATTTATTTTCATGTTTTTCTTTTTTTTTAAATTTAGGCCTACCAAGATTCAGTTAGACATATAGAAGACATAAGGATATGATCAAATAATAGTTGGTTTTTGCGACGAATACCATTGTAAAATAATCTTGTGTTCGTCATTTGAACATTTACTTCACCGTGCCCCATGCAGACTCCCAAGTGTAGTTTTGCCATATGGTATTATGTTATTGCGCATTACACTTACCCTAGGGTGTATTCGTGCGAAGTCTGGTTCAGTCCTACATTATCGTTGTAAAGTCAATATTTTTTGTACTATTTACACGCCCGGTAATCAGAAAAATGGGAGGGAGGAGGGGAGCAGGCAATTTCTGCTAAAAATTCAACAAATCTGCAAGATTTATTTTTCAATAGAAAGTTTTTTGTTGAATTGCCTAATAGAAGGCGTGGCATTTGATTATTTGATAAGTAGTATGTAGATTCAATAGGTCTCGGGGTAGAAATTTACACCAAACAGGAAAAAAAACATGTGGATTTTAGAATTTTTTGAAGTAAGACAACAGAGTTCTGCTTTCAATTTGATCTTCAGTCAGTTGTACGACTCCCAAATATCATTTACATGGCCAGGATCACTATGGTCATGGTCAAGTTAACCTTAACCATGCTGAAATACCCTTAAGAAAAAAGCCATGGTAACCATGGTATTCCATGGTGCGTCCATGGTAATCCATGGTTTTCCATGGAAATTCATGGTTTTTCATGGTATTTTCCATGGAAATTCATGGATACCCATGGTAATCTTCCATGGATATTTACCATGATTTTCCGTGGTAATTGGTGGTTTGGTAATTGTTTTTTCATGAACATGCCATGTTTTTACCATGACACTTGACACTTGGCAGGTTTTGTTTTTACCAAAATCTTCAAAATTGAATCAATATTTTAACGAATGAATCCAAGCTGGATTAAGAATTAGTCTCATTAATCATAGATAAAAGAATATGACACCCCCCCCCCCACCCCAAAATCTTTGAGAAAGTCAACCTTCTTGACAAAAGCTGGTTTCAGGCCTGAAATACAACCATGTTTTTACAATCTGAATATATGTTTAGTACATTCTGTACATAGTGTCATATGACAAAGAACTGTTTACTTAATATTTTTTTAATTGATGATTTGACCCCACAATTAAAAGTAATAATTTGTTTGCTGGGATTTGCTATCATTTAACTTTGGCACTTATGTAAAAAAAGACAAAATAAGTGATAAAATCAGCTCACTGGATTCCCTTATTGCAGACTGAATAAACATTTTTACTTGGAGTAAATCCTATTTGGTTTTATTTGATCAACAATGAGTTTTTGACTTGCACTGTCTACACTCACAGACAATAATAATTACTGAAGAGGGAGCATTAGAAAGAGTAAGATTATCATATAGAATAACAATTAAGATCAGAATATTTAAGAATTATGCAAATGAACTCTTATAATCTGTTGTAAAGAGATTAATCGTTTGACATTAATTTGAGAGTTCAGACACCTAATTAACATAGAATAATGGCAACCAAATATTTAAAAATTATGCAAATGATTATTTATTCCTATTCAAAGACAAATCAATTTTAATTACTTATACTATGTTTCATGTTTTAAGCCAAATGGTATTGTTAACCCCCTCCCCTTCCTTCATGCAACTTCTTTTTAAATATAATATTCTTACATAGACAAATTGAATTTTTATCACTTAGGTATAACATTTCAGTTTGCAGCCATAGGCTTGTGTTTAATCCCCCATCTCAATTTCAAGTCAAAATTCTGTAAAAGTATATACTTTTCTGTGGATTTTTTCAGATAATATGCTTATAAAAGTTGAATGGGACTTAATTTGGAGAAGTTCATTTAGAAACATAATGTATTATTCATTTTTCTGCTTCCAAAAGACCAAACAAATAGCCCATGGAAAACCATGGACTTTCAAAAGATCAAAAGAATAATCATGGAAAACCATGGCTTTTGATTGCACTTTCCAAAACATCAAAGAAATAAGCATGGAAAAGCATGGCTTTCGATTGCAATCAACCGTCTTCCATGGCTTTTGATTGCAGTTTTCCAACTTCAAAGAAAGAAACCATGGTTTTTGATTGTATTCTCAAATGTATGAAATGTAATTTAAGAAAATGAGTTATTTATTTCTTAAATTACTTCATATTGATTTTTAAAACTGAAAATCTATCTAGTCTTGATCTACACAAAAGACCCTTGCACAATTGTTTTTGAAATCTTGTGGCCTTCTCTCTGCTCTGCTGTTTCACATATTTTCTCATTTGTAAGCTGAGTCTAACATTCGATGAATGTTCTTGCTATACCTTCAAAATGAAATGTCCACCCTTTTTTCTCAATGATAAGTCTCAGTCTAACTGGGATATATCATCAAAACATTCATTTTGGAGATTTTGGTAAATACAAATCCTACCAAAATTGTTGATTTTACATCTCCATGACACATCCATTAAAAACCAATTACCAAACCAACAATTACCACGGAAAATCATGGTAAATATCCATGGAAGATTACCATGGGCGTTCAATGAATTTCCATGGAAAATAACATGGAAAACCATGAATTTCCATGGAAAACCATGGATTACCATGGGCGCACCATGGAATACCATGGTTACCATGGCTTTTTTCTTAAGGGTAGCTTTCTCAGCCTTCTGAAAATGTGACTGAAAAAAGTTAAAAGTTAGCGAAAAATTCAAAATATTCTGTTCAATGACCTTTTGGAAATGCTAACTTTTACAGTCACAATTTCAGAGTGCTGAAAAAGCTATTTCAGCATGCTAAGGGCCATTCTTAGTTCAGAAAATTCTAAAATCGTCAAGGTATTTTCTTAAGCATCAATTTGAAAACTAATTTTTGTTTCATACATTCTTGTAGCCGTTTGTGTACACCCCATGCAGACAGATTGCCTTAAATTACATTCGTATGATACGAGACTCGCCATTCACCAGGAAAGTAGAAACATTTTGTCACCCATGAAGCAAATTCATTTTTTACTGCATAATAAATGGTCAAGGAAAGTAACACTGAGTTCTATAAGTATGAGAATTACATAACGTTTTGATATTTCAAGGTAACTCATTCAAAAAGTGATGGCGGTGATCGAACTTACGATGTAAAGATAAAACCGTAATGAAATATTTGTAGATTTCTTTGAAAAACCAAGAAATGTACATCACATATCGAAATTTATGATCGGACCTAAGTATGATGTTACTTTATTAACACTACATTGAAGTACACATCATACTAACTTATGTCCGATCATAAGTTTGAATAATAGTTGGGTTTCAAATATTAATTGTATGACTTTTACGAGACCAATGTTAATGCTACCAGGGGGAATGGGACCTACATGCCTTGAACTACTGTATTTCTACATGTTTTTTTTTCTGTTTTGAAAAATTCAATATGAGATGTATATTTCTTAGGTTTTCAAAGAAATCTGCAAATATTTCATTGCAGTTTTATCTTTACATCGTCATTTCAATCACCGTCATCATTTTTCGAACGAGTAACATTGAAATGTCAAGACGGCATGCTATTCTCATACTTATAGAACTTAATATGACCGTCATTCATCATTTATTAAGCAGTAAAAAATTAATTTGCATCATGGGTGACAAAATGTTTCTACTTTCCTGGTGAATGTTGAGTCTCACATCAAACGAATGTAATTTTAGGCGATCTGTCTGCATGGGCAGGTGTAGTAGAAAAGAAAATTATTTAAAATGAGGTTGCACCATCAACTTAAATTAGTGCTTTGTTGGTTATATAATAAACCTTGAACTTTTTCATGTCATTTGAAAAGTTGCATGTTTCTATATATTGTATTATATTGTATTTTGATTGTTTTAGGAAAGAGGGGGCAATAACAGTTTCAGCCATGATGCTTTAACTCTAAAATACAAGCTCGATAACGAGTTTGAGCTCACCTTTGTGGTAAGTTCAACATCATTAATGTAGTTTTTAAAAAAAACAAAAAAAAACATTGTACATTTTGTAACATTTTCTTGAAAGTGTTGGAAAAGGGAAAATATTATAAGAATCAAGTTTGGTTATTTCTATGATGTTTTTTTCATGTGACCTTCCAGAGCATCATATGATATTATTGTTGTTTTAAGTTTTGATGATTTTTAATCAAAATCTGTGTTTTTGTATATGGACACAAAAGTATATTATTATAGAGAATGTCTAATGTGCATATGATAATAAAACTGACTGAGGGAACAAGAGACCATTTTCTTTGTACAAGTACATGTATAGCTGAAAACATAGTTGAAAGTTGGATTATATGAATATTGCATGAGATTGTTACATCTTGGTTCACCTTGTATACAAATGCTGGAGTTAGTATGACATCCAGTGAAACCCTGTATTTTTAGATGAAAATAGGTTCATGAAAATAATTTTTCCATTTTTATTTTCTATCAACAGGTTGCCTACCAAAAGATCTTACAGCTGTCATATGTTGATAAGTTTCTAAATGACATCCAGATTGAGTTCCGCAATCGCTACAAGGATGACCTTCAGGTTGGTCGGTATAATCGTAGTTTTGACTTCACAGAGACTTTTATGTCCATGTTGAAATCTGCTGAGGAGGCTAGCAGAGCTGCAGCTCAAAAACCAAGGTATGACTATGAGACTGTTTCGTTATTCTGAATACATGATTTTGGAAATAGGAAGACATTTTCCACCAGCCATTTTCCACCAGCCATTTAGGAAAATATGAACCATGTCTATGTGTAATGATGAAACCTGTATGCATACAATGTTGGGACACATATATGAACTGACAGATTAAGTTTATGCTGCAAGATAGAGGACACTAGTCCAGTCATTTACATTGTTAAATAGATTGATAGCAGTAAAAGTTGATTATGAACTAAGTATTTTTTGTTGTTTTTTTTTAGAAAAATGAAGACTTTTGAACAGTCTGACAAATCTCGTAAAACAGTAGCGTCAATGATTGAGAACAAGAAAGAGACGCCGAAACAGATCAAGGCGAAGGAAGCTGCCCTGAAGAAAGCAGGTGAGAGCGATAGTCTTTCACATTTGATCATAGTGATTTACTGAAACACTGAAGCACCCAGTTGAGAATATGAAAAGTTGTTTTTTCTAAAGTCCATTTGCAACCATCATATTGAAAGTTGCTTAGATGTTTTAAAAATGGGTCATAGATGGACTAAAAAAAATTGAACATTCATTTATTTTAAAATCCCTTTCATCATTTATTTTTAAAAATGGTGTTGAATTAAATATATGGTATGCTAATTAAAATGTTATTTTCTAGATGATGAAAATGTAGCAAACATTGAGAAAGGTAAACTATAAAATGTGTACCTTTTCTGTAGGTGACTGTTTTCTTTAGGTGATGGAAATGTGTATTTCAACTTTTTATTTTCCAATTTCATATTTTTCATGTCATTCTGTACATAGTCTTTACATGAATTTATTTGGGGGTGTACTGTACTGTGGACAGTCATTGATTTATTACATAAGTTATTAAGCGTACAGGACCAGGTGCTGGGTTATTATTGATTGTAGTTTGGCTATGTGAGGTAATTTCTACAGCATTTTTGTTGTTATTAATTTGTCCAGAATTTCAAACATGAAAAATGTACTCTTAAGGTGTTTTAAATTAGCAGTAATTTGATTGTTTTAAAGTATAACTACAACATCAAAGTAGATTTTGTTGGCCCCTCCTATGATGCAGCTAGGTAAATCCAATACAAATATTGTATATTCTAAAACCATGCAATGTCTTTCTGGTTGCAGCGAAGGAGAATGTATCTCCCAATGTATCTCCCCCCTCCTCTCCAGGGGGAGGTAGCCTTGATGAGTCCACCAGGCTGGCTAACATTGAGAGGTTGAAGAACAGAGGCAAGAAGAAGGAGAAAGCAAAAGAGTGAGTTATAATAGACATTCCCAAGTATGTTCAGAGATATGAAGTATTGAACAGTGTACAACATCCTTCCTTATGCAGGGGTTTCACTAGAATTCGATTTTGTGAAAACAACTGGTGAAAATCGCCTGTTGCCTGCTGCTAATGAAACCCCTGTTACAGGCCTGTCAACTTGGGAACACCTAACATGAGTGACTTGGAAATGTTGAACACCTGCCCTCAAAATGTGGACACCTTGGTCCAAATGTGAACACCTTGATCCATATTTTGAACACCTTGGTTTAAATTTTATTGCATCTTGCCAAATTTTGAACACCTCAAATTTTTCACGCTCGCGTTTCAAACATCCATCAACGGGGGGGGGGGGGGGGTGGTAGCTACGAAAAATGTCAAACAGAATGCGTGACATATACGTAATTCGCGTGAAAAAAAGTCCAGGTAAAATGCGTATTGGCGTGACATTTTTTGTCACGCAAAAATAACTTGCGTGACTTCAAATTCTTCAGCAAATGCGTGACAAATACGCAAATTGCGGGACAGTTGACAGGCCTGCTTTTATGACTATTTTTGTAAGGAAAAGGCATGGCCCTATTTAGTATGTAAGATGATTGGCACTTGAGATTAAACTATGATTAGGTCTAATGACATTCTCTGTAACATTGATGTTGCTCAGTATCTGGTCATGCTGAGGCCATGCTTTAAAATTTAAAAGTTGTGAAAGGTATTTAAGCTATTTATTTTTGCACGTGATCCAATTTAAGTGTTGACCTTTTGCTATATGTGTGTTTGCAGTGATTCATCCTCCAATGACAAGAAGAAGAAGGGAAAGGAAAGTCGTATGTGGGATGTCCGCTACGGAGGCAACACTAACAATAAGAGTGCCAAAGACCTGGACTTTAGTAGCAGCAGTGGAGGAGATTCTGTTACCAATGGACACCAGGATAATGGAGCTGTAGTGGAGCAGCAAGAGGTATGGGAATGGGGGGTGGAATAGAAAAGGTTGTTTAATGGGATGTAGAATAGTGTGAGAAATAGGGTGTAGAATCAGTGGTTGATCCAGGGGGGGGGGGGGGCATGGGGCCCGGGCCCCCCCCCCCCTAAGGTTGGCTCAGAAAAAAAAGTTGGGCCCAAAAAAATTTTAGGCCAAAAAAGGCTTTAAGGCCCCAAAAAGTGGGCCTTTTGGTCATTATTGGGTCCTCTAGGGCCTTATTTTTTTAATTTTAGGCCAAATTTTGAAGAAAATGGGCCTCAAATTTTCAAAATTTGGGCCCACTTTTCGGTTTTAGGGGCCCAAAATTTTTTTGGCTGACCTCAAATTTTGGGCCCCCCCTGTTGGTTCCTGGATCCGCCACTGAGAATAGGGTGTGGAATATTGTGCAGAATAGGATGTACAATAGGGTGAGGAATAGGGTATGGAATATTGTACAGAATAGATGTACAATAGGGTGTGGAATAAAATAGGGTGTGGAATAGGATGTAGAATAGGGTGCGGAACAGTATAGAATCGAATAAGGTGGGGAATATGGTGTATAATAGGTAAGGGGATAGAGGTTGGAATATGATGTAGAATAGCAAATATTATTTTGAAATGAAAGGAGGACTCAAAGACTTGTTGCATCATGGTCGTATTATACCTCTTGTGTTGTTATATTACAGTTATCATGGGTGGGGCAGATGAAAGGAGGACTCAAAGACATGGAACCAGAAAGCAGTTCGGAAGATGAGGAAGAGGAAGTTGCATCCACATCTAATACAACGTAAATATTTCATATTTGAACTTTTCTCTTTTAAGGCTAGGCTTGAGTTAATGAAATATATGTTTTGCATATCGGCCTGCATTTATTTAGAATTACTTAATTTTTAGCATATCATATTCATTTTGAAAGAAATATCTGTTTTACGAGACATCATTAATTAAAGGTATGCTTTAAATGATTTTAGTCCATAATACAGCCATTTACCACTCACACACTGAACATTTAAATCGATAGTCTGCAGAATTTAGAGCAAAACATGTAATCAGTGTCTCAATTGTACTCTTTTCAGGAAAAGCCAGCAGTCCTCTGGATTTGGAATGTTTAATGTGTTCAAGAATCTTGTGAGTGCCAAGACCCTGACCCATGATGACATTCAGCCAATTATGGAGAAAATGAAGGACCATCTCATTGGTAGGTTGATTTTGAATTAGCCTGCTCTCATTGGCTTAAATACTACTCTCTGACAAGGGATTATAATTTTACAAAAAAGTATTCCACCAATGAGATTTAATTGCATCTCTGAGCATTGCTATATTTGCATTATATTATAGGAATATTAGGGTTGGCTTGGGAGGTTCAAAGGTTTTTCAGTGTTGTGAAGTGGTTGACCACATTAACTAAGGGTAAAATTAAATCAGGCTCATTAGTACTAAATATGAATATTTGAGAACTGATTTAAAGAAGAATTTTCAAAGAAATACTAGTTGTGCATGTTCTTTTAAATTATAGAGCAATGAAGTGATTCAGTAATGATCACCTTCTGCTTAAGCTAATGCATTATGGGATATATTATAAACTTGATGCAGGGAATTTAAGTCGAGAATATCTATTAATATTGTACATACATAAGCTGTGTAAAAGATTTACAGGCAAACCTGCTTCATGGTACTGCTTATACATTTGTTTTAATAAAATTTATTGATTTTAATTGTAGCCAAGAATGTTGCGGCAGATATTGCCCAGAAGTTGTGTGATTCTGTGGCAAGTAAACTAGAGGGTAAAGTGTTGGGCACATTTAGCGGTAAGTCTGAACATGAAGTAATAAACACACTTTTGTAAATAACCTTCCGTGTGCATGTATATTCATAAAGTAATTGAAAATGAAAATGCAATTTGTATGGAATACTGTATTGATACTACAAATATAAGAAGATGAAGTTTGAGAGAGAATTGTAATGTCCCAAGTAAATGGTATTATAATTATGCTGCTTTGTACCAGTGATTAGTGATGAGCCATTTCTGATCATATCTAAGTGTTTTTCTTTGTTCTTTGTCTGTATTTCAGACTGTTACATTGTCTGTTTGTTTCTTCAGGAGTCACATCTACTGTAAAGACCGCTCTTCAGGAGGCTTGTATTCAGCTTTTGTCACCACGTCGTCGTGTAGACATCTTACGTGATGCCATGGAGGCAAAGCAGCAAAGGCGGCCTTACGTCATCACATTCTGTGGTGTCAATGGAGTCGGAAAGTCAACCAACCTGGCAAAAGTATGTCACTTTTCTCAGCTTTCTATTAATGCAGAGTGCAGACAGAATTTCCCATGGTCACAGATTTTCAGAATCTTTACTTTCGATCAGCGTATGAGGAATGACAAATTATCTGAAAAGGTGTTGAATAATCAGCCTTACCTCTGTAGTTTTATAGAAGTCATGTTAAATCCATAAATATTTAATGTAATAGTTTTCTCAATCAAGCTATTTGCACTATACATAAAATAACCTTGAATGGTCATATGTACTCTTGTTTCAGGTGTGCTTCTGGCTAGTTGAGAATGGATTCCGCGTGTTAATTGCTGCGTGTGATACATTCAGAGCAGGGGCCGTTGAACAGTTGCGTACACATACTAGAAAACTGAATGCGCTCCACCCCCCTGAGAGTCACAATGGACAGCAGGTAACTCATTGTTTTGATCCATATTGATCACCTCAAAGATAAACAAAGATGGGGTGCAACTTTTAGCAATTATAAACAAATGTGATAAACAAAACTTTATTACAGAGATGTTCAGGTAAAATGTATGTCAATTAACCCCTTCCTATAAATTGCGTGTGTTTAAGAACCTTATACTTTATACTTTAGATTGGAGTCCTTTCAAAAAATGTTCATAGCATGCTCCATTTTCTTCATGTGCAAAAACCCAAAGGGTAAACTTGTAAAAAAGTAAAGTTTTCTATTTAAGGCTGTGCAGCTGTACGAGAAAGGCTATGGGAAAGATGCTGCCGGAATTGCAATGGAAGCTATCAACTGTGGTAAGTATATACAGTGCTAAGGAATATTGGGGTATTGCATTTAGTCTTGCTTAGGGCAGAATGTCAGAACAAATAATGCACTCATCTTTGGTTGGTGCTTCTCCGACATCCTGGTCTATCAATATTTATTCCTTAATTAAAGGTGCAACAATTAGTGCAGGGGGGCCATTCAGCAATCATCGACCAGTGTCAAAATATATAGAAGTTTGATTTAACAGAGCCATCAGATAGTGCAATACCTTAAATCAGTCTGTCTTCATAAAGAAGGCTTTATTTTATATTCCAAACATTACACTTTTTTTGATAATGTATTGAAAGCTAGTGAGAATTGATTTTACAGTTCTTAAGTTTGTAGATTTAAAAGTCAAGTAAGGGTCCAAAGAATCTATTTCCATTATCATTTACATCAGTATTGAACAAAAAATCATCAAAGGCATCAACCAACTCCTTTTCTGAGATTTTCCCATCATGGTTTGTATCCATGTAATCAAACTGCAATCTAGCTAGGTTGTGATCACACTTCAAGGCCTTCCAGAAAATCAAGTACTCTTCAAAGCTTATAAACCCATCAGAGTTGAAATCAACAGCCTGTAATATTAAAATATATATTATCTATTAAATGTTATGTTCAGTTCTGGTCTCTACACCACCTTCTTTCATGTTGTAGCACCCACCTAAGCCTAAATCTGCACTAGTTGTATGCTGACTTGAGACAATGTTTCATAAAGATTGTCATTTTTGATGTAACTATTATATAGTACAGGGTGACACAAATAATGCCACCCACGCAATGCTACATAACCTTTTTGTCTGCATGATATCTGAAAACTAAGCTCCATGGAGCAACTTCACGAGAAGTTTCAGATGAATTTCTCAACTAGATGCACTTTTATGAGCATTTCAAGATGTGCTCTAAATGTCGTTCATTCTTTTGCAGTCACACCTGGATTCTGCACAAAATAATGCCACCTACCTTTTGTAACATAACTTTGTAAATACTAATGAATTTTGCTTGTCCAATCCATTAAACGCAAAATGATATAGTTTTTAGCTCACATGCTCACATAGTGAGCTATTGTGATCACTCATTTGTCCATCCGTCTGTGACTGTCCGTCTGTCCGTCTGTCAAAAACTGGCCCATTTTAAAACCTCTGTCAATAGGATTCCCGTTTTAAGTTTCCATTTTTTGGACCATTTGCTTTAAACCTGTGTCGATAGCATCAATACAGAAAACTCCCATTCAAAAGCTCACCTATTTTTATAATGGTCACATTTTTGTCTTGCAAAATTCACTTTTGGCCCATTTCCTTGCTTTACAAACTAGACAACAGCAACGCCAAAGCGTAGCAAATCCCATCGAACAGCCATAGCTGGCATGTTTACAAAGTATATAGCAAAAATGGCAGCCATTTTTCAAAATGGCCACCTTCTACCAAAAGTGTCATTAGACAGTGTGCCATGCTTATAGTATTCACATACCAAATATGAACAAAATTGCTCCACTACTTTTCGAGTTATAGTAAAATACGTTAAAATGGCGGCCATTTTTCAAAATGGCTGCCTTCTACCAAAAGTGTCATTAAACAGTTTGCCATGGTTCACCCTATGCAGACAGAGCCTGTGGGAAATATTGGGTGCGGCGCAAATGAGCGGAGGGTGCGGAGCTAACGGTCATTTTTGAATTTAAAATTGGGATATTTCTGAAACTAAGCCGTTTTGGGACTTCAAATATACCAAGATATGTGTATTTGACACCAAATATCAATAAAATTGTGAAAATAGTAGTGCAATTCATTTTATAGCGACGCAGTATGCCTTAAACATTTCCCAGACCTATATATTTTGAGACTATCCTTTTAATACTGCGTCCCCAGCATTCATAAAAAAATGGTGTTCAAGATACACTACCCATGCAAATTATTTTTGCATCTTGGAAGCCAGGCAGTATCTGTGTGATTTTATAAAAATTATGAAATGTTCTTCAGATATGAGCCCCCTCTAAATATTGGGTGCGGAGGTACGTTTACATAGTTTATGGAGTTCCTCCGCACCCAATATTTAGAGGGGGCTCATATCTGAAAAACATTTCCGAATTTTTATAAAATCACACAGATACTGCCTGGCTTCCAAGATGCAAAATAATTTGTATAGATACTTGAACACCATTTTTTATGAATGCTGGGGACTCAGTATTAAAAGGATAATTTCAAAATATATAGGTCTGGGAAAGGTTTAAGGCACACTGCGTCGCTATAGAATGAATTGCGCTACTATTTTCACAATTGCATTGATATTTGGTGTCAAATACACATATCTTGGTATATTTGAAGTCCCAAAACGGCTTAGTTTCAGAAATATCCCAAATTTAAATTCAAAAATGACCGTTAGCTCCGCACCCTCCGCTCATTTGCTCCGCACCCAATATTTCCACAGGCTCTGTCTGCATAGGGTGTGGTTGTAGTATTCACATACCAAATATGAACAAAATCGCTCTACTACTTTTCGAGTTATAGTAAAATACGTTAAAATGGCGGCCATTTTTCTACGAAAAGTTTCATTAGACAGTGTGCCATGCTTATAGTATTCACATACCAAATATGAACAAAATCGCACAACTACTTTTTGAGTTACAGCAAAAATCGTAAAATAACTAGTAAAGTCCGCCATTTTTTAAGATGGCTGCCATGTGCTTCTTTAATATCTACATTTCTAGCTTTATTAATGTCCTATATAATTTTTTTACATTTAAAACATATTGCTATTACAGTTTTACATATTGCACCTAAATTACTGTAAAATCGGCACTAAAATGGCCGCCATTTTAAAATGAGTGGCCATTTTGAAAATCGGCTTTTAAGCAGAACTACTCCCATTGGGTATATGTGTACAAAATATGAACAAAATCAGGCCAGCGGTATTTGAGTTATTGCCCGCACGGACGGACGGACGGAGGCGTTCCCTATATTCCTCTGAACTTCGTTCAATGGGATAATAATTTCAGGTGATACATAGGGACAAAGAAATTTTCAAGATGGCTGCTATTTATTATTACATGTATATGCCAAATATTTTCTTGCATACCTTTTGGCAGAGCTTTACTACCATTACAAGTCAAAGGCCAGTTTGAATGGTTCATAAATATAATTGACAGACTGCTGTGTCTTCAAAATGGAATTGAACTCAGGACTTTAGCAGCCTTCTTACCTGAAATAGCCTCTTCCAAAACCTAACCCAAGGCTTCTTCTTTTCAGGATCATTAGTCATTGCCCATATGTCCAAAATCTGCTCCACAAGAGGTTTTGAGAAATAACTAGGAACTTCTTTTTCAGTGCAAGCTATTTCATCGACCCATAAATAAAATATTTTGTCAGCTGCTTTCCCCTTTAAACCACCTGAAAGATCATGAAATCATTGTTAAGCACATAAAAGTACTTTATTTTAAGCACATAAAAGAATTTTAATTTAAGTACATAAAAGCACTTTAATTTAAGCACAAAAAGCACTTTAATTTAAGCACATATAAGCATTTTAATTTAAGCACATAAAAGCACTTTAATTTAAGCACATAAAAGCACTTTAATAAAGCACATAAAAGCATTTTGAATTAAGCTATAATTACAGGTCAGTTAATTTACTCCTCATGTTTATATCTCAAAAGTTGTTTATGAGTTATGGTAATGATAGAAATTGATCCAGGAACATTCCTTAATACACTGTACCTATCTTTACAATGTTATCTGCAATGCTCATGGCATCTTCGTAACTATATTGGCCATCCTTGTCAGCGTCCCAAACAAAGATTGTAGTCAATGCTTTTCTTAGCCACAATCTTGGAAGATCACTAAGTCGTACCTATAAATCACATCAATTGTCATTTGATCTATAATTGTTTCCATTGAGTGTCCAAGCTGTGTATGGTTAATGAAGCTCTCTCTTTTGATATTTTTGTTGCATAATTTGTCATCTAATAAATGTGTAAAAGTAAAAGTAAAAGTAAAAATCAGTATAATACTGATAATTATAGATACACAGCAACATGCTGTATTAGCTTAATGCTTAAACAAGGAGTGAAAAACACTTTAATTGTTATATACAACCTTTAACTTAGTACATTTAGGTAGAATAGGTTATTATAGTAGGTTGATATGGTTATTTTTGTAAATAATATTTTTGTTCTGTCGGACTTCTCAATATTGTATTGCACTTGTATGTACAGTCTTACAAAAATTTTGGAGTCATTAAATCACATTATTAAATGTGTACCCAATTACAAGGGTACATCTTTAGTTTGAATGAATTAACAATTAACACAATAAAACATGATGTTATAAATATAGGTTATTTACTGGGAGGAATTGAATATGGATTTTATTCCGAGGGACAGTAAGATATTGATATTGTAATAATACACATTGGCTTAGCCAAGATTTGACAGGAGGGGGTTCGAATAATAACATTTGAATTCATTTAAGTGGTATTAGATCAGTATTTCAGGCCTAAAATGCAAAGTACTTTTTTACTCAAGATAAAGTTATAAATCTCGCATATTTCCATCTATACCTGTACCTTAAATATCTTAGGAAATCAAAAAACGATAAATAACTGAAATACTGCAAAAATTTACTCAAAATTTGGGGGTCACACAACTGCAAGAAAACGAACCCTCTCTCCCTACAGCCGTGATACATACAATGCAATTTATTAGAATGGAAACAATACTTACTTGTTTCTTTGTATCTTCCATACTGAATTCTATCACATTGCTTGTTGAACTGAATATTTAGTAGACCTACTGTTGTAAGACTACCCAAGGAAAACACATCACATCTTTTTGACATTTTTATTTGGTTCACTTAACTGCTTTCATAAAAGGAAAACAAACTTTACATATATTTTAAATTGTGAAGGGCAAGTAACCTTGATTTATGTATGGTGTATCAAAAGCTGGGGGCAAGGAACGTCACATAAATTGCTATGGAGTTTATGTAAACCAAAAATA